AAATGAAGCCACCGTATGATTCAGAATATAATCATAATTACTTTTAATTAGTCAAAATTCATCAAATAATGTAGAATAGACATATGGATTAAAATTTAAAGCGTCGATTAACATGAGATTCTGGCCACAAAGAGATCCCCAAACATAAAAAGGTTGCATATCGCTATGAATAATTAATAAGGTTTATTTTATGCCACGCAATTTAAAACATAATGTAGTATGACATAGAAATGAATTTCAAATATCTGTCTAAAAATGTTCTTCTATAAAATAGTGATGCCTTACAATCCCAAGCTTCGATATAAGATAATAAAATCCAAAATGGATATGCTGTAAACTGCTCGTTTGTGGTTCTGATTCAAAAGACTGCATCATATAGAATTAAAACTAATCCACATGCTATATCAGTGTGTCCATACATGGTATTATATTATTTATGATACTTAGTGCATCTATAGTACATGTAATAAAGTAGTATTGTGTTGTCGTCTATTTGTATTATGTAGATGCCAAAACAATTGTTATTTTTATTTTGGTCATTTAACTAAATTGTTTTTTAAATATGAGAAGCCGTTTAAAAAGTTTTAATAAGCATTCGAATATGATTTATGTACTTCTTTCTCTCAAATATTTTATAATATATAATCCAATCCATATTATTCTTACGTTTGTAAGAAATTTTATCCCCCGTCGAGATATCTGTCGGACGCTGCCGCTTCGTTGCCTACAGTATGAACAGGCCCGCTCGTGTGTAAGTGTGTAAACGTGTGTGAGTAGCTACAACCATGTGATGGGAAGTGAACCCTTTACGTGAGGGAAACCGTTTTTTTATTTGCACTCGGACAGCGGCATCAGGTAGAAAGGATGATCGTTAATTTTTAAAGGACACACTGAACTTTGTGTTTACCCACACGGTCACTATCAACGCTCAAGATATATTTTTAAGTACTTTAGGTTTTCATACTTTTCCATAAAACCTTATATTTACAACACAAATGTCTTATATAATTTCTTTCTAAGTAACTGTACCTAAAAAATCTGGCTGAAAACCCACATGTGTCCTTCCGCATTACGCTAAGAGAGCCCCAAGCTCGTTGAAGTCTTTTGTTTAAGTTTTTTATACTTGTAATTCTTTTTCACTTTCTGCTAAAAGATTTTTGAAAAATTGTTATGAAAATTATAAAATAAGTAGAGTACATTTATACATTATTATAAAAAAAAAACAAATTTCAAAAGGATAAAAAAATACTTTACTGTTATGATTCCCAAAAAAGCAGTTTACCGACCAAATAATTACATTAAATAATGATCTGGTCGAGAAGTCGAGCGATGGTAAACTCATCTCGAGGGCTCGCTACGGCGAGTGCGGGGCAATAAAATAAGACTCCATCGGGAAGCGGGGGGCTGTTGCCGGACCACGACTCGAAATATAGGCTTAAGCGAATATATATATTTTTTCGACATATGCTATTTTCATTTTTATTATATATGTCTATGCTATATTTAAATCGCTATATTAAAATTTTGTACTGTTGTAGCTACATAATATACAGACTAACTTACAAAAAATTGTTTTGAAAACTAAAAAAATCCAATCATATGTATTTCCATACGCCGACCTCTCTTGCCACGCACCGTGGATCAACAAAAAGTCATCATTAAAGTCTCAGAGGCGCGGCGGGTGAGGCAGCGCAGCCTCTCGCTCCGCGTCCTAAACGATTCAGTCGACTTTTTATCACTTACCTACCAATCCATATCGAGTTTATTTATACATTTTTACTAAGAGCCTTTTTTATTTTATACATCCTTATCATTAATACCTGCACGCCGTATAATACTATTAGTTGGATGCCAATTATGACTCCAGTAATCTAACTTTACCTCAGTTATTGCTCTGTTCTATCTAAATGGAATAAATTTCTACATGGTACTTCAATTATACTAAAGATATTTCGAGACAAAACAGTTAATTTAACATACAAAGTTAATTGTCATTGAATAGATAAAATTTTTGGAAATTAAATAAATCTATTAAATAAAATATATTCAGTATATTGTTAGGCGCGGATGTCACCTTTAAAAAAATATAGTAAAAAAAACTTATAGATATAAACTCTGTTCATGACTTTGAAATTCAAGTACTAGTTAGCACGAACGTCATAATTAATTTCTGGTGTAAATCTTGACATGCTAACGTAAATGGAACCCGACCTGAGTTCAAGGGAATATACACTTTTGGAAATAACAACAGTTATTGTTGATTATTTTCATTTCAAAAATAAGGTATTTTGTTTTGATAATAGCATTTTGTTTCTATAATAGCATTCCTATTTATATTTATTCCTAACTAGCGGCTCACCCTCGCTTCGCTCGGAATCGTCTCTAGAAAAACAAAATGCATCTATCCCACAGAAACCGTACATATTTCCGGGATAAATAGTGTGCTATTTATAAAACCTATGTACTATTATAGACTATAATCTATCTCTGTGTCAAATTTCATCCAGATCCATTCAGTTCGTTTTGACGTTCTGCAGTGATTGAGTAACAAGCATCCATCCAAATATCTAAACATTATGTAAGATATTTTTTTCTATTGATGAGATATACTTTTAAGTTTTAACATAATCTCGCGATTAAGTACAGTAGCGTTGTGTCTGGTAATGTATTCAGCCCTTTTTGAATGTCCCGCTGCTGGGCACGGGCCTCCCTTCAGTACGAGGGGAATCAGGCCACAGTCCACAACGCTGGCCCAGTACGGGTTGGCGGACTTCACATGTCTTTTTGAAAACTTGATCGGTTCTCTCAGACATGCAGGTTTCCTCACGATGTTTTCCTTCACCGTCAAGACGTGTCTGGTAATGCCTACTACGAATGTTACAGGCTTTACTCTCGTAAAGACTAGAAACACCTAGTGGACTGGAATCGATAGATAATGTGAAGAAACAAGGTCTAAAATCTAAAAATTCTTTCAACGTTATTTTAGCATGAAATAACAATCTTTTCCGTAAAGTCGGTTCATTATTATGTATTTACCTAGCGTAGTCGTAAGTGATATTAACCTCAAATTATGAATGACAATCACGTGGAATCTTTAGCGCGGATTACGTTCTGTGGCTTTTAACTATTATTATGTATGCGATATAACGCTGTCAGAAAAGTAAACACAATGGTATATATTACTGGAAGTTTGCATTTTAATAAATTAAATAAAGGCGTCGATTTTTGCTACCCTACATTATAATCATAATTTTTGTATACATTTTATATAGAAATACATATAACAGTGTGGAGGGAGTTTGATAGCGTTATTGTGAATCTTAACATTTCAGGTGTTTTTAATCTATGAAAATTTAAATTCGTACCATTTAAATGTTCACTTTTACAATCCTAATATGACAATTTAAATTCATTTTGATAGGTCAAGCAATACGGTAACGAATACAATAAACTTTAACAATTGCTCTTGGTAATTATACATTTTGCACAGTTCCCATATAGTAATAAACACTGGGAATGAACTTGTCTACAATAGCTATTTACGTATACATGGCTAAATACGAATTAATTAGTGTTTATGTTTTTAATCCCTCAAAAAACTTTAAAAATAAAAACTTTTAGTAGCAAATGGAAATGAAAAAGTAGAAAGTATAAGAATGAAGAGCTCAACTTTTTACTATATTTTATACGAATCATTTATAATAACAATCATTAAACAACTGTTATACTTTCAATTATTATGTCTGAACGTGAAGTAAGCAGAATTCCAAAAATACCTTTTAATGTACTGAACCAATCCATACATAACTCGATTATTTTAAAAAAAGCAAACTGATTTTTATTATTAAATAAAATTCAGTCCTGACTCTTTATATTTAAAATTCAAAAAAATAATTAAGTATTGGATTTTAATAGCTAGATATATAAATTTAAATAATAAAACATTTTATATCAAACATTACTTAATTTATCAAATCTGAAAAACAACAATGTCTATAAAAAATAACTTGCGTTGAACTCACACGCTAAACCAAAATATACGCCTGAGTTCCCAGCAGAGTATAAAATTACACTACGTTTCTTATTAATTGTTTAACAATTTAAATAAATATTCAAACGACTACGATTTTCCTTGTATCCATTTGCTTATTTTAGTTTCTTATCTGAATAACTTTATAACTTTATGAATCAATAAAAATACCCCGAGTCTTTAATAATATTATAAAAGCTGTTAATTTAAAAATATTTATTAAAAATGGTAATACTAAGTATACTGTTGAAGTAGTACTTGTACTAGTTGATGCTTTATATATCAACTAAATGAACAAAAGACAATTGACAAACATAAGTTGAGTTTGTAGAAGCATCATCAAATTATAATCTGAAGGTGGCTATGGTAGCCACAGTGCAGAGTTGCCGGAGTTAGCCGGACACGCTCTCGCGGCAAGTTCAAGGTGAGCACGTCGCTCCACCCACACGCGCCGCTCCTAGCGAGCCCGCAACCGTTACATCGAACACGGCCAGAATGGTATAGGTGACTAACTACTACTACTAAGTACTACACCACTCACATCCACAAATGCTTATTTGTTTATAATATTTAAAACTAAATATGGTAATGGTAAAAAGAATTATTTTAAAACTCGCTAGAGACATAACGAGTGCTCGTAAGATTTACGCATGTTATCAATTTAAAGGTCAGCACTTATTGTTTAGCAAAGTTTTTGATATTAGAATATAATATCGAGATGGAACACATTATTCTTAAAACATGTCATTTATGTAAATGCTGAATTACTTATATGGATTTTTTTTACAAAAAAACGTTTCGTTGCGAATATTGTTTTTTTAAGTTTTGTATATTTATAAATTATTATTTGCTGTATATAAATTACCTGTCAAAATTTTATTTAAAGTTATGGTATAATCTTCTTATTATGTAAAGAATTTTAATGGAAAATGTATAAAAAATAGCATCGATATATTGAAACAGTAATTACCTGGGTATCGTAATGACTTGTCCGAGTTCATCAGCTAGCACCAGAACAGTTCCTTGTCCAGGGGCGCCTACTACAACCGACACACCACCATCCACTAGTTGTCCCGCTCCACTGACCAATTGTCCATCTTCCAGTTGTCCACTTATCATTTCAACTCTTTTCTGATCCGGTGTTGTCGTGTATATAACGGTTTCTTTATCGTCTTCATAAATAAGATCTATTGGAGTTTTTTCATCGATAGATTCCATCCCTTGGTCATATACATCTGGTTGTACAGGGACTTTACTATCAGGAGCGTATGCAGCAAGCTCGTGGGGTGAATGACGATACGAGTGGGCTTCTGGTGGATATCCGTCATCGGAATCCATCTCCACTTTATGTGGGTAATAGTCATGCGCGGGTTGAACTGGGGTCATCGTAGCAAGAACAGCATGAGCGGGCGCAGGCGAACGTGGCGCAGAGGGCGGCGACGCAGCAGCTCTGGGGGTGCGCGCGCGCTCGTCGCATGCGGCCGGTTGGGGCGACGCGGACATGACGCCGCACTGCTCTCCCACTGCGACGTTTTCAAGATTGCGGAGGCGCCGCTACTGAGCGCCCCGCACAACTCCTGATCACCCCAAATCTGTTTACTGAAATATATATTCCTCATAGCATTCCAAATCTTAAAATATATGTACAAACTAACATATTCCATACATATGACGTGCTCGTTTCACCTAGTTTAAGCTATGCAATTTAAAGATTTTTAATATAATTCTCTCATACTGTGTCTAGTACCTTGCACATAATTATTCATGTCAGATGAAGAAAATTTATAACGCTTACTTCATATGCTTATAATCATTTTTAGCTATATTTTGTCATTGCATCAAATTGATGCAGTAATCCATTGTATATCTTAATATCTTAGATCGTAACAATGGTATCAGCTGATTCAAGTCCAGTTAGAACAGAACAAGTATCCAGTGGCACCTGATTGGCGAGAAGTGCCCGAACTTGTTCAAGAACTGCACTGCCCAGGCGCGGGCACACAGAAAGCACCACCGAACGGTACAAACTGGATACACATTGTAAGACTCACGTGCCCGTTGAGATTGGCCGCTTAAATTGTCGTCACTAACGAGTAATTAATACTTAATTTTCTGTTATCAAAATATTAATAAACGATAGCTAATATCACTCATTTATATTACAAATGATAATTTACTCTCAAAAACTAAAATTCACAACATCATGACGATGACGACTATCGTCTAAAATACCAAAGTAATTTTAAAATTTTCCTGTCATACTTTTTAAGCTTTCACGTAGTCATTAAAGTTGCGGAGGCTGAGAGGGTCGTATAACAGAGACAGAAAAACGAAAGCCTTCAATCGTTATATAGCCCTATAAGTTGGAGCAGGACAGATATAAAGTTGACCAGATCATACAAGAATTCGATATCTTAAAAGATATCTACTTATTTTATGCTTGTTCTTTGTTACGAAAACATAAATATGAAATAATAAAGGTGTGTTTATACATTGCTGCCTATTCATTATTACTACTTATTCTAACCACACAAAAAAACAATAATATAAACAAATAATTAAACTAGACCGTAGTTAAAATTACTTTTATGCATTTTAAAGTTACGGAATGCTTATTTGTAAATTACTTAGTTAATTTACTTCTCAATAATACTATAATCCTATGCTTGTAAGTCCCTGTTGCCTCGTTGGAGAGGGAAAAATAAAATAACAAAAAGACTTCGCCGCGAACCTGGGACGTCGATGTGTACACTTGCACACATGGACATATGAAGCTCGTCGAACACATCAATACAACAAGAAATAAACACACGTAATTCACTCACACAGTAATTTTAATATGATTCGTGTGCTATCTCAGACTTAATGTGAATAAGCATACACCTAAAAGCTCTGTAATATTCCACTTAAGCGGCTTAATAATACGTAAATAAAATTATTGAACAAAGAATATTAAAAAAATCTGTAACTGGACAAGATGAAAGTCTACCTAATTGCATATCACTGTTATCGATACGTAGTTATTACATCACTTCCGAAAAAAGATAAACGAGCACGTCATTGTACTGGAACTAAGGTCGGGGGCGGCAGCGGCACGGCGCGGGCGTCCTGGCGCAGGCCGTCACGCACGCGCGTCAAACTAGTCTCGTGACGTCACGGCCCGCCCGGCAAAATTACAAAACCGGCCTGGCAGCTCAAGCGAGTGCGCCAAGAGGCAAGAAGCGGCGCGGCAGTGACGAACGCGCAGCCGACCGACCCCGACGCGCCACGGGGATGTCACATACCGTGGGCGGCGTCACGACGCTGCGGACGGCGCGGGCCGGGGCGCGGGCGCGGGTACGAGCACGCGGCGAGCGGCGCTACGGAGCGCGGGCGCAGGTGCTCTGAGCGCAACAGCCTCCGCGCGCCGGCGCCGCCGCCCTCCGCGCCCCCACCCCCGCACCGCCCGCGCCTCGCTCTCGCACGCACCAAAACGACGAATTTATCTTCCGTACATGCTGGCCCTCCTACCCGAGGCGGCGAGGACGTTACCCAAGATGCCTGTGTGATAGAAAATCAATTATTAGCTCTCAAATGAAACTATATGTTTCGTCAAGGTTTTATTTTTAATTTTTGTTTAACTCAAAATAAAACCGCGACTAAATCCGCAAAGATAGTTTTTATTTAAAATATAAAGTATTCGCGTAGAAAGAATCTTACTTCAGTTTTCATTAGTACCTATGGGTCACAATGAACTTGGAAAAACTACTATGTACTATGTTATCACTTGTAACTAATACTCTGTAATTCACCATTTCAATTGACTATTATTTATAGTTAAGAATGTTAGTAAGGAATGTAAATCATGACAATAATCTATACATCTATACATATATGTATAATAAAACAGTAACTTAGCGAAATCTGTACATATTAAAATGTTTTTAAATAATATATATAAATAAATTTTTTTAAAACCATGACTGTAGCGTACTGTGTGCAGAAATTAGGCCCCAAAACAATAGTTATTAAAAAAATTGTCTGTTTGTGTGTGCGCGACTCACGCAAAAAGTGCTGAACCGATTTTAGCCAAATTTTGTGAAGTGATAACTTATTATTACTCTGGTCAACATTTCGGATACCTTTTACTGCAGGAAAACCTTTTATTCCCAAGGGAACATACAAAAATTAGTACTATCGAATCGTTCTTAGAAATTTACACGTCGAACACTGGCTAAACCTCTTAAGAGATACATCAAGACAATGTACTCGTACTAGAAAATTGTAAGTCCTAATATGGCCTACAGACAAATCTGCAATAGCATAAGTCTTTCACCTAAGGTACACTCACAATAACTATTCCCAAAATCCCCTCTTGGGCTCCCCTACTATAATTATAGCTGCTCATCGGGAAAACTATACATAGTGTATTCTTAGTTTCCCTGGCGGTTTCCTTTGGATGGTAAAGTTATATAGACAAATCTATTTTTGTGGTCTCGAGAGGCATCATATCATATTATGTATTATTAAAATTAATGATAGTTAATTATATTATGTACTAGTGAATTACCCTTACTTCGCTCGGGTGCGTCCCTAGGTACGTTTTAAATAGTTATAAATATACAGTAATAAAGGCAGTGGTAGCCCAGTGGTGACGCGCTCGCTTGTGTAACCGAGTGAAGCGGGTTCAAATCCCGGGTCTCGCACCTCTGATATTTTCATGTGCGAATCATTTTCAACATGATTACCACTTGCCTTACGGTAAAGGAAAACATCGTGAGAAAACCTGCATGTCTGAGAGAACCTCGCAAGTTTTCGAAAGACATGTGAAGTCTGCCAACCTGCACTTGGCCAGCGTGGTGGACTATGGCCTGATCCCCCTCATATGGGCCGTGCCCAGCAGTGGGACGTTAAGAAGGGCTGAATGAATACATACATACATACAGTAATAGTAATAGTTATTGTGGTCATATAATAACTATTATAATTCAAATATTCGCCTAAATGAAAATCGAACCCACAAGTTGGAGCATTATTAATAAGAATTTGATAGTTGTCACAACATTTTTTTTTATTTATTCTTGTCGAATAAACTTTAAACATTTCAGTAAAAATATCTAATTTTTAACCGACTTCCAAAAAGGAGGAGGTTCTCAATTTGCCGGAATCTTTTTTTTATGTATGTTCACCGATTACTCGAAAGGCCTGAACCGATTTGGATTTTTTTTATTTTGTTTCGAAGGGTATACTTCCCAGGTGATGCCATTTAAATTTTATCGAAATCGGTCAAGCGGTTTTAAAAAAATCAACAATAAATTCTTGTTTTAAATAAATTGCTTAATCGAATATGTGATTAAAAAAAAACTTCTTACAAATTACCTGCTTATTACGCTACACTAAAAATAGAAAAATAAAAACTTAAAAAAACCGACTTCCAGGCACTAAAATGTAAAAAACTAACTAGAAACGTGGGTTTTCATTTAGAATAATTAAGTACCTAATCAGCTATTTTCGAAGTCGGTGCCAGCTGCAGTGTTTTTTTAAGTTTTTATAAGTATTGTATATGTATATTACTAGCAGAACCTGCGGCTTCGCTCGGGCTAAAACTACAAAAAAACTAAAAAGTTGGATTTCAAACAAACTTTCATCCCCTATTTTACCCTCTTATGGGATGAATTTCGTAAAATGCTAATACACGTATTTATTTAATTACCTATATTGAAGAGTACTAATACCAAGTTTCAAGTAATTCTGTCCGTATTTTTTTTTGGGGTTGTATTATAACGTATTTCCCGTGGGAATGAGATAATCACCCGCGGTAAAAAGTAGCCTATATCACTCTCCAGTCCTCCAAGTATCTCCACACAAAAATCACGCCAATCCGTCATTCCGTTTCCATGTGAAAGAAGGGCGGACAAACAAACAAACACACTATCACATTTATAGTATTAGTATGGATTTTAAAACATTATTGTTTGGCTTCATGTTTAGTTCTATAACCCTATGTCTATATTATTCCTCAATCTGATATGTTAAACTACGTTAGACAAAAAATTACCTTCTATAGGATCACTAATAAAACTTCGAGATATTCCTTGCTTATATTACAATTCAGTACTTTTATAATCGTCAGTGAGTTACATAATTTTGTAACCATAATTTTCAGTATTATAAACAATTCGTGACTAGTCACTACTCACTACAGGGTGGTACCGACATCTCCGTGCAAAAGCGCGGGAAAACAAATGAATATCCGCGCCCTTATTTTTTTTTTTTTTTTAAACACATTCCTATCGGCTAAGGTCACATAACTAAATGCCTTATACATAAATCATTATATATATTATTTTCTATTAAAACGCTCAATACCTATATAAAAATGCAACCTTACACTCGTCCATTCTTATAACGTGTATGACCTCATACACGCTTCCCGTTGGGAAACCTAACACTTCTTATCAAAATTTAGATATTTAAGCTGATTTATTTAGATTATAATAATTATAATGAACCATGCACGTATATGCTAAAATACCTTCTTTAAGTTAGTAGTCGTCGGTTTTCTATTTCTAAGATTATGCCGTCTGTTTGTCAACCCATCCTTCGGTCCATCTGCATAGGTATCTAGTAGGTAGGTACTCGTAGGTAAGGTAAAATAGAATACCATAATAGGATTGAATTTATTTAACAGAGGTAGTAGTAAAATTAATTAAAAGTAAAATTATTCGAATATTATGAACCTTCAATCTCAACCTGTAAAACATAAACCAGTTATTTTTAGATTTTCTTTGTTTTGGGCTATGGTAATAATATTTGTAATGTCATAAATATTTGGCGCTATATAAGGTATACCTATCCTATATTTTAACTTTTCTATGTGAAAAATCACATCTTAATTAATAATTATTAGATCTATTCAAACTACCGGTTATAAGGAAGGAATATTACCATTAGATTTTAGAATCAATTAATAATATTTTTAAAAAGGGGTCTTAGACTCCTAGTATATAAATAAATCTATGAATTTATTTATTTTTTTCCATATATCGCATTAACATATCTTTTTTAATTTTTAATTCAAAATGGGGATCTAACTGTGCAAAACTTCAGGTATAACAACGTATGAATGTTTTTATCGACACAAATTTTGTTGTTTGCAGTACATTCTGTTTTGACATTAAGGCATCAAAGCTAGTTTTCTGGCAAATGTCAGACGTGTGAATGTCAAAAAATCATAGTGCTGGACACTATATTTTTTTCACATTCTATTAACACCATGAGCATCTTATAAAATATCAATGAAACGCTTTACTATTATAAGCAAAGCAACATTTGAATAAATTGAATTTGCTTATTACAACTAATTGTTTAATATAATATAGTAAAATCATTATGCACATTGTATAGAATTCTAATAATGTCTGTTTTTTATTTTAGGGTAACTAGCCAGTAGCCACTCACCCTCGCCACGGTAATGTTATGCATAAACATTATCGTGCCCTCGCTCCGCTTGGGTTGGTCCCCAGTTGCGTTTTAACTTAAAAGTTACGCTAAGAGAGAATTGCTAAGGACAAACAGAGAGACAAAAATTCTAAAAACTATACATTCTGCCTCTCTATCAATAATAATGACTATTTCAATAAGATTTTCTAAAAAATATTTAATGTACAGATTCGACTCAGAATTTTATTATATGTACTACTTACTGACTCAGCCCCGTTTCGCTTGGGTTTGTCCCTAGTTACGTTTTAACGTTTAGTATAGATTTCTCAGAGATGAGATATTTTCTCGCAGTAATAAGTATCCTATATGTTGACTCGGGTAACCTATCTAGCTATCATCACACTAAATTTCATCAACATCTATCCAGTGGTTTTCTCATGATGCGGTCACAAAAATTCTAACACCTTTTCGTTATTTAAACCTTTTCATTTTTAAACCCACCTCCAGCATCATCAAGCACACACGCATTATTTTCACAACTATATCACACGCTGGAGATTTAGTACAACACCATTCACAATTATTCAAATGACAGAACTTTGCATTACACTAAAAAAGAAAAGTAAATTATCTTACAACGCGCTTAATGAAAAAATAGTCTTCAGACCATTCATAATAATATTCATATTAATTTATTAATAAAGATGCTCTAATCTTATTTTATATGCCACTAGAAGAATGAATATTATTAAAAACTAGTCCTCTTTCGATCTTCTAACTTATTCTAACATTAATGAAATGGATATCACCATTAAAACTGACATAATCCTCCACTTGCAGAACTTTTCATTGCTTTCATGAATATGAAAAAGTTAATATGTAACATATTAATTAATCCCAATCTTAATAAATTTGGTTTTTGATACGATCTACTCATGTACCTATATAATCTTCAAAAGAAGTTGAAGTCTGTATTTTACAAAACTGTAAAAAATCTAATTCACAGAACCTAATCGAAACCGTATCAAATCCAATTCTTTTAAAAAAACACAGGCTAATTTGTATTAGAATATATAACTCCAAAATACTAATGGAAGGTCTAATAGGAAAAAAAATGCTCAAAATTGAAAACTATTTAATTAGCAATTTAGAATTTTGACATACTCGTAGTTACTTAGCAGTAGGATGATATCGATTGTCCAAATAAATACTTAATTTATGTTTATATACCTATTAATTTTTTATCATCCATAAAATATGGAGGTAATTCATCTTGGAACAGCAGCCTTGGCGAAACCGAATAATAAGACTTTAAAAATTGTTTTTATACTTATTTTCAAAATACTAAGACATGTTAGTCTGTTCTAAAAAGTATGCACCGTCCTTCTATAAATAAATACATAAATATGTATATGTCAAAATATATACATAAATATGTTTAATTATTTAACCAAAAACGTAACAAAGGCATAAAGTAATCTATAAAAATAAAATACTGTTCGTTGTCGTTGAGTTGACGGTAAGTAGTGTCTGGTAGAGCTGCTACTCGCGTAAAACTTTCCGACGTAATAAGACGAGTTCAAATTTAGAGTAGGAAAAGATAGAGAAATAATAGTTATACATAGAAAAGTTATATCAGAATCAGATCTAACTTAATTAAAATCAATAATTCATTGATAGATAATAATATAGCAATCGTGTAGATTTTATATAGGTAACATATGAAAATAATTAAATTTATTGATTTTACCTGACTCTTACCTGAGTTTAAGAGTCTGATAAAATCTTGCTTAAAAGTTATTTTAATTTATCTATGCTAAAATGTTTAACTTTCAAACCTTGTTGGTGCTTCTTCTATTGAAGATGGGTGCTCATCATCGTGGAATCTTGTAATTAATATAATAAAATCAAAAACCAAAAATAAAAAATGTGTAAATTTTAACAATAGCAATCCAAATTAATATTTTAAATTTTAATTGTTTTATATAATATGGCAATAATGTGCGTCATATTTAATTTTGAATTTTAAATAACAGCTTTCAAATCAATATTTTGGTAAGAAGTTCTGTACGGCACGTTACATTTGGCTCATTAGTCGAATTCGAGTTACTACTGAAAAAAGTGTAATATTGCGACCGTCATGACAGTCTCTATTATTTACTAAGAGCACTATATGTGACCTCATTGTAAGTATCAAGTTGTCATAAGTGTTAAGGAAAATATGTGGTAAGCAGTTCGTATGCACTCTTATGATGGGTCCCTACTATAAGATTGACATAGAGGTTTGTGGTCCCTTAGTACTCGTGATATTTATTATCACCAGGTACTTATTATGAGCAGCAGCCCATAGCGGCAGCGGGAGCCCATAATGTGACGTCATCATAAGTACCAGGCGATCATAAGTGAGGAATGTATGTTCATTGCTTGATGTATATATTTTTTTTATTTTAATTCTACAATTTTTATGACCTAACTAGCTCAGCGCTCACCTTCGCTTCGCTCGGGTTCGCCTCTAGAAAAGCACAAGCAGATCTATCCCACGGGAACCATTCATTTTTCTTTTAATGTTTAATTAATATTAAAACAATACCAATAGTTATAAATGCTCTAGTTTTTCTTCAATAATGATATAATTTTTGGACATGGCTTCGTTTGATTTCAACCTACAGGATTTGACTAGATTTGATTTAACTGACGATGGAGTTGGATAAATTTGATATGACATCGCGGCCTTAACGTAATCAGGGATGACACAAATAAAAGTAGGTAGGTATAACGACCAAAAGTGTATTTAAGTAAAAAAGGTAATCAAATAACGATAAAACACTCTATGAATAAAAATGTATCCTTTATAGGTTTAAAATAAGGAAACAAACAAAATCTAAAACTTTTTCTGTGTAGCTCTCTAAGTCTTCGTTCTCTTCATAGTTTGCTAGGTTCACAGTTACGTTCAACACGGATTTATAAAAATTCAAATGATCATATTTATTTTTCCAGTCTTGTCCATAATGTTTATCTAATAGTCTCTTAACATCGTTTATTTTGCGGGTTTTATTGGAACTCCAAATGGAATAGTTTGAGGGCCTATGTTTCGAACTTGTTTGCCTCTCTTAAGAATACTTTTATTAGAAGTTAGATCATCTCACTACTCTTACTCATCTGAAAGTGCCAACTTTGTGTAGGCTTTAGAGTTTCTTTGCATGTTTTTTTCCAATCCAGTACAGGTATGTCGGAGACTAGGTTGTAAACAGTAGCGTGATCTGAAAATATAGCCCTATATTCTTCCGGTTGTACAATTATTTCTCGTCGTCTAATTTGCTTCTCTGTCAAAGCGAAGACTCGATCAGGTGGTAGGAATGAATGCCGAGTTACAGGATAAATGATTTCTACAGTCATAATATTATTGGAAGTGTTCATCAACTATTTCCTGGCCATTCCAATTGCCATCATATTTTTGTTTTGGCGACCACATCCATCTGCGACCATTCTTATAACATTTTTGCCACTCAAATCAATATTATTTAAGCAGTGAAAAAGACTACAATCAATTTCGTTTGACCCCTTTGAAGATTCATTTTCTGTTCAAGTGTAGACACTGGGCATATACATTATCTTTATTTAATTTTTTTTGTTGATGACCCTATAACTACAGTGAAACTTTAAATATATGGCTGTCTCGCGCAATAAGTCGCTTAATCGGGTAATTTGGGCAATGGAAATTTTTTTTGGCAATCAAAGCTTATTGTGGTCAAATCATCGCGGTCTTCTTTTAAATAATTAAAAAATACCGCTGCTCGTAATTTATTTTTATTCTAGATTGGTTCATTATAGAAACTCCCATATTAGGATCTTTTTCAATTTTTAGGGTTTCTGAAAATTGTAGACATGTAGAGCAGACATCCACCCTGGGACTACCAAACCCTATATTAAAGCTAGTATTAAATACAAGCCTGAAAAGTCCCCTAGTCACTCCATAATCAGGCTGTGCCTGGTTATTGTACATCACTCACATTTTTTTACATTCAAATCGGGATGTAAATATACTCTGTTTCTATTTTTTTCTCTTGAATAATGTATCTCCACTGGTTTAAATGTTTTGATAATAATTTAAATAGCTTCTCGTTTGGCTGCATAAAGGATTTTTTTTCGGTTTCAAAATATCTTTTCATGACTCCTTGCACCCTTCCTTTTTTAAATCGAAGAATATTAAGAAATGTTTCCCTGCACACCGGGGCCAATTTACCACTTGTATACCGTGGTATAAAATATTTTTGTGCTAATGTTTTGGGTGCTCTAGTAGACGTTTTTGGTCGTTAACGATTAGTAGAAGTAGCATTGCAGTGTTTTATTAATATATTATCTTGTTGTTATTTACTTTTGTTTAAATAAAATAATTTGTGAAAGTAATAAAAATCGTTAGATTTTAGTGACTTGCATTGGAAAGCTTTACTATCATGCGAACATTGGAGTGCAATTGGTAAGCCAACAGTAAAATACCTGAAGCAAATAAAATAATACTATGAAGCTGCATTTTAGCGATAAAAATAACCCAGTGCGTGGTGAAGTTACATATATAAACGCGCACAACAATTATAATTTATATTATAAAAAGTAAGGTTTCATAATGCACAACTTACAAGTGCCTAAAGGCTAAATAATAATGTTATAGACCCAACGCAATACAAAGTATGAGACAACCCTAGCTGATAACTGCCATGAAAAAGGAAAAGGTTACAGATCAAAAATTAGAAATGCAATTACACACGAACTTATTGGCCTTTTCATTCCGTTTAATGATTTTCTTCGATACCGTTTTCTTTTTAGTTTTTCTAGTAGTAATTTCACTATTATATTGTCCATTTTTCCGATTTAAATGAATTAAAATCTTTATAAAGCATTTTTTTCAACCACTCACAGCGACAAAGAATGATATTAAACATTTTAAATGACGTTTTTAAAACGTCCGAAACATCAACAGTACTATGTTGTGATTGGTCGTAATGGATATGGCGCGTTTTGTTTTAAAGCCGTATATGGAGATGGCTAAGTTTGAAACAAATTAAGAAATAACGGTCAAATTTGTTCCATTTTAGAGTGGATTTGGACACGTTTGAATTGACAGACTTTTTTAATGTACTTTCATCTTTTTATTTAACGTGAAATTGTAAAATCGCATAGGTATTAAGTGGAGATGGCCATGTTTGAAATTTAACGACTCATGCGTAAAAAAAGTTGTGAACCGTTATTTTGATTCTAAATGCTGTATCAAAAGTTTCAAATAATCTCGTGTAATCTTAAGATATTGAAGTTCAAAAGTCACAAGTGGCAATCTCATTGAGACTAGCCAACTGCGCAAGAGATATTATAGTGCACAAGTGTGCACGCAAGCAAAAGTGCATTCTATATTCCTGAATCCTGTCACTATCATACAGCGGTAGGAAGACTACTCGACACGACCACAGATTAAGTATTAGTTACTACGTAAGACACGACCAGTGAGAGTTAAAGCCCAGGACCGACGGCCTTAAGTGCTCTCCGAGACATGGGAATGATACACCGCCATCTTCTCAACTCCAGGTTGCTATTGAGACTTACTAAACAGAAAGACTCAATAACTAAACTTGGCCAGACCCAGGACTCGAACCTAGGGCCTCCGGATGTGCAGCCGTACATGCTAGCTACTACACCATCGAACAGGCAACCTTTTTAAATATATAAAATAAGTAAGTAGTGTCAAACAAAAATGATTTTATATTTTAAATTAATAATTAACTTTTATCTAGTTAATCGTATATAAAATGTTTAAGCAATAATTGTAAAGAATTTAGTGCTCTACAAGCTTTATGATAGATGTTTAATTCATTTAAGGCTTACAAAGCTAGATGTCTTCAATAAACTGATTTTTGTGACCTTTAATATTTATAATGCAGGCAAGTGATTTTATGAGACTTATGCTTAGGGTATACGTCATATGCTATATTATGTTTACTCTAAGGACTTATGAGACTTAACACATCATGTAGAGTGCAAAGACAAAGGCTTAAACAAATTTTCAACACTTCTCATTTCGAGCTATGAATAAATAATTATTTATTCGTAGATTTTGAGGTATAATAACCTAATGTGACCACATTATGTGATCTCCTAGTTATAACAAAATTGTAAACTACCTATGTCAATGACTAATAATTGAATATCTATTTTTTTTTATCTGTAAAATGAAATGAAATCGCTGTCACTCTGAATTTTGACAAATGACAGTGCACGACGTGGTAAAAAAAGTTGTTGACTAGGAGTAGGTAGCTCTTTTTCTCTTTGGTTCTCTGATTCGAAAGGTGAATTTAAATATTTGTCAAGAAAACTTAAGTTAGTGAAACTTTTAGTTTTGTTATTTTTACGCTTTAATACTTTTCAACTTACCTATGATCATAAATTAGTTATGCTTACAATTATTTTAAGTGACTACACAAATGTTTTATATATTATTTTTTAACGAATTCCTAACCTAATTCAAAACGGTGGGAATAAATTTCAGGTTATCGTTTACTCCAAAAATAAAATGAATAGCTTCTTGATAAATAACTAAATTAAAAATAACTATTTTAAGAAAAATCTTCGTATTTCCAAGTGCACTGACTAATGATTAGATGAATGTTGAAAATTTCATTTAAATTGAAAATCTAAATCAGTTACTATTAGTTAAATCTTACATGATTCAGTCACCTTATATTCTTCTTAAAAATTATACTTTTTCAGATAATGTCTGCTCTAGTCCACGAAAAAGTTTGGCTCGATAAAAACATCTATAATGATGCTGAGCGAAATTATTATGAATCTCTATCAAAAGTAAGTTTTTAGTTATATATTATAGTATAAAGTAGTATATATAAAGTAGTAGTAAAAATGTGTTATATTTTATTAAATAAAATTAGATAATCTTAATTTATTTTGTATTGGTAATATATGCTTCTTTTATTAAAAAGGGGAAGGAATCAGATATAGCAGGTTCTTCTCTGGCTAGTGAAGTTGCGAAGGCTAGACAACACATCAAAAACTCTCTGGAATGTGTAAGTAAATGTTATTTTAAATGTAAATTTGTCTCACTGAAATACATAGCTTCATCTTCTACATAGCTATAATGACAATAATAATTATTATTATTATATTCTTAATTGACTTTATTACTATGTAACAATTATACATAGACCAATATGGGCAAATCTTATTATTATTTAAAAAAATTATACACTTAACTTTGTTGTGCATAAATAAAAATTATTCTATGTATTATGTAAAAAAATATCAAACTATATATTATAGATGGATAGTGTTGCAGCCTTAGCTGGTGTTCCAAATACTGAAATCAACAACAAGTTAAATAGCCTCGAGAAAGAAAATTCAGAACTTAAGAAGGCCATTGATGATCTACGAAAACTGGTTATAAGTCTACAAGCCAGAGTTGAATCAATTGAATCATCCAGTTCTGGAAACAAAGCTGTAGCACCTAAGGTTGGTTATGACCATCAAACAAAAATGTACTACACACACAACCCCAAGCATTCCAGTGGAGGATTTACACATTTGCCACCAAATTTTGCCACCTCTATCGACCTCTACAAGTCCGTTTTTAAATTATTTTTACACTCCAATGACTTAGTTAAGATTGCACCAGAAATAGTTTTTGGGTATACTTGTGAGCTAATAAAAGCTCAATCATGTACCACTAATAAGGCAGGGTAAAGTAAACCTTAATACTACTTACACAATAATGTACTCTCATGATTTCAGTCATAAATTTTTGCCTGCCTTAATTTCTTAAACCAATATTACACAAATTGTTGAATTTGTCTTAGTGGTGAACCATATTACATGTTGAATTGTTTGTGTGGACCTAATAATAGAGTTTTGTGGCTTTTTTCTTTTTTAATATCAAAAGAAAGCAAAATTGTGTTTATTTCTACTTAAATCAATTTTAACTAACATAGAATAGATAGATAGTTTTTATATGTAATATGTTGATATTGTGTATATAACTTTTAATTTTTATAGGCACCTGCACCAGCTCAGGAAGACTCTGATGATGGAGTTGATTTGTTTGGATCAGATGATGAGGAAGAAAGTGCAGAGGCAGCTAGAGTAAGAGAAGAACGTCTAGCTGCGTATAATGCAAAGAAATCAAAGAGTAATTAAAATTTTCAATTAAAATCGTTATGTACTTTTTTAATACAATAATAAAGTTGCTATTTTTGTAATTAAACTATTTCCATTTATTATTTAAGGCTAATGTATAAGCTTATATTTTGAAATTTCAGAACCAGTGCTTATTGCAAAATCAAACATCATATTGGATGTTAAACCTTGGGATGACGAAACTGATATGAAGGCAATGGAAGATGCAGTAAGGAGTATCAGTAATGATGGACTTCTATGGGGTGCTGCTAAACTTGTGCCCCTAGCCTTTGGCATCAAAAAACTTCAAATATCAAGTGTTGTTGAAGATGACAAGATATCAGTTGATTGGCTAGTGGAAGAAATTGAAAAATTCGAAGACCTTGTAAGTACATGCGAACTTCTTACTATTTTTTTTTAAATAATCCTAAATAAACTTCTTTGACCAGTCAAATAAATAATACCCTAACAGTTCACACAATGGGAAGAGTATTTGTATCTTGCTCAGGTCAAGAAAAAATTGGCTTTGTAATTAAATAATCTTTATTAAAATAATAGGAATGTTAGCCAAAACTTTTTGTAAAGATTATTCAATGATCATATTTATTTTCAGGTTCAAAGTGTGGATATTGCAGCATTTAATAAAGTCTAACAGCAAGCCTGTGTGAATAAATTTATTATTAAAATTGAAAATCGCCATAATCTTATTACTTGTACATACATATAACCAAATTTTACTTTAAAAGTTAAAGGCATTGTATAATATGGCGATAGCCATTACATAACTGTTCAAGCTATTACCAGATAAACCTGTAGCCACAAACACAGCAATAAAATTAACAATTTCCAAAATATCGAAATCCTTCCATGATTTAACTTCTATGGGAGGAATAAATAAATTGACAAGAAAGTAATGATTATAGTTACAGACACAATCATCTTAAAAGGGTAATCACTAATCTGGTTGTATTGCAGTTCTTCAGATTTTAATTTACTAAATATTTCTTAGACATGAAACATAAATCCTACATATGATTGCTAATAGTTTACTAAAAAAAGTTTTTTTTTTGTACATGGCGTATCTATACAATATATAATCATCATTTAGACATTTTCCCGCGGTAAAAAGTATTCCTTTATGTGGACCCGGATAACCAGCTAACGCCATACCAAATTTCATCAAAAACCCTCCAGTGGTTTTGATGTAATGCAGTAACAGACAGACAGACAAAAATTCTAAAACCTATAGATTCGGCCTCTGTATCGATAGCGATGTCTATTTCAATAAGATTTTCCAAAAAAATATTTAATGTACAGATTCGACTCAGTTATAATTTTATTATATGTATAGATAAAATGAAGCAAAGCTAACTTTTCACAGATAAAAAAAGCCTTTTTACAAAAAAATGTTACTCCATGTCTGACTTCCAAAAGAGGAAGTAATTTTTATTTACACTTTTTTTAATAATCTACAATAATTTATTTTCTCTTATCAGTTAATTTTCATGAGTTAGTTCTTCAGTTACTACCTACTATGACTTACTAGAAAGGTCATAGCAACAAAAATTATTCCAAATAAAGTTCCGTAGTAGATTAAGATGTTCCATAACTTTAAGGATTCGTGAAACTTTGTACTTATGCAATCAAAAGGGATTACCAGTCTCTAGTTCGGATTCCAAGACTGCTATTCCTGGAAACGAAACGGCTAAGTCTTGTGCCAAAGCTGCTGTACAATATAGGTCATTAGTGCATTTTTCAAATTCAGTGCAGGATCTTTTATCTATTGCAAAATCCCGCTTAGATAAATAATGGAAAAATAACTGGAACTCATCAAGGTATTTTAAAGGTGGCCAGGTCGTAGTGGTTCGGAAAGACCGCCGGCGATAGCTGGTTCCACAGAGTGGTTGTGCTGGGCAGAAAATGCCTTAAAAATCGCACAGTTGTGGAACGCTGGACATCGAGGTGATTTGAATGGAATTTAATATTTTGGCGCGATGTCGGATGATGAAATTCAGCAGTCGGGATCAGTCCGAACAATTCCTCGGAACACTCCCCGTGATAAATGCGATGGCGGCAATCCTGAGTCCAATGAAGGTGTATTATTACACAATGCCTCATATCAACGAGTGTGCCCTCTCTGTCTGGAGATGAACAGAATCCTATTCAAAACCGAAACAGAAGGCGAGCTTACGAAAAACATACAGCGATTGCACGAAAAAATCAAAAACTTGTGCTTCTCCTTTGTGAAAGCCAAGCTTTTGACGAAGGAGAAGCAACAAAATTACTATGCTGAACAACTGAAGGTATTGCCATTCAATTTAGCAGAAACTTTGACGAACGACTCAAAACCGCTATATCAATATCAAAAACATTGGTATTTCAGGAGTCCAAAGAACAAAGACTTCAGAGAGCCAAAGAAAGTATAATCTTTTTGTTGCTGATACATTATAACCGTAGTTCGTCGTTTACAATGGAATAGGAAAGGCAAATTAATTATTTTAAGTTCGTCCTGTTGGCGGCGGCTCTTTTTATATTAAACAGATTAAGTAACAGAAAACATACTGAATATCAACAACATTAACTTTTATGAATTTGCTAGACAAACAAAATTACATTACTATGGACTGACTAAAAAGAAAAACCATTTCTTCTACGGACCCCCGTGTACCGGCAAAACAATGGTAATAAAATCTCTGCTCGATATGCATTACAATTACGCCCTGTCCGCACTGCGATATTTCACCGCACGTTTTTATTCTCGAAATTCTGTAACACATTGAATCTTATAGGAGTATCCGCACTGGCGGTTAAAATTTCACGCGGATAAAAAATCTGATTTGATGCAAATTGAACGCGATGCGGCGCGGATATATTCCGCGCGAATGTTTTGTACAGTATATGCACTGCGAAATAAAATTCGCGCGTTTCGCTCAGTCGTGCACCGACGCTATTGGTTTATCAAATGATTTTGTAGTCATTCTGTAATATCCGAAAAACTTTTTACTGTATTTTCGCAGCTCTTGATATTTAATGTAGAAAAACATCATTTTAGATTACTAAAATGTCTCGGTAGATATAGTAGATTTATCATTTTAGACGTTTGTCTCAGTCGGGAACTGCATCAAACTGACAAAAATCGTACGAAATTTTATTCGCATTGCGTAATAAGTACAATTTCAATCACGGAATATAATACGCGAGAATAAAAATCGCGCGGTGATATATTGCAGTGCGGACAGGGCCTTACGCAATACTCACGATACTACAACTAGAGTTGCCAACCCTACTATATAATATAGTATCCTACTGTATTATACTGTGCTACTATATTTCAAGGGCATCAAACTCAAAGCAATAATATTCCTTTCAAAATGTGCAATCGTAAAACGAAACGTCAATATCTATTTCTGAACGTTTCTGCTATTTCAAGTTGACACTTTCACTTCTTGTTTGACAGATTGGAAATTTCGATTTTCGCGCTCTCGAGTTTTTGTTTACTTTTTTGGTAAAACTTCCTACTTTGACTTATATTGAAAAGTTGATGTTGAATATTTTCTATTTCTAATATGAATATAAATTTATACATTGGTCGGTACTCTGTTGTCATTTTTGAGTCATTTTTTTTTCTCTACTTATAGTTTTGAGTCATTTAAAATTCTGTATAATTGTCAGCTTGACTGTGATTGTCAAATGTCATCACTCATCAGTTAGTTGTCATTTGTCAATTGTCATGTTCAATTAGCGTTATGCTGTGGCCTGTGCCTAACCTAAAAATGAATAATAATTATTAATGTTTCATATACATAGTATTGACTAATAATATTCTTCATTAGTATTTACCATATTTATATCGTCAGCTAAGTTTGTTAAAAATGATCTGTAGAAAGTGCAATTCTCCTGGAACATTGACAATAAGAAAAGAATATTGTTATTGTGTCGATTGTTTTAATATAAACATTAACCATAAATTTAGAGCCTGCATTGGTAAAAATAAAATAATATCTACTAATGATAAAATTTTAATATGCTTGTCAGGAGATTCGAATTCTATGGTTTTGCTTGATTTGATACACATTAGTATTTCTTTAAATAACCATAAGAAGCTAAGGATAATCCCAAATTTTTTACATATTGTAGGTATGTTTCATAAAGCCTTGATTAAATAACTTAATAGTACTAAAATAGTAATATGAAATATCTGTACACATTCTTGTTTTGTCTTCTATTTTAGATACATTTTAATAAACTAGTAACCAAATGTTTTGTTAACAAAAAAGTATATTCACCTTTTCCTCACTTTTTTAACATTTCTTTTATATTCATATTTGATAATTATTTTTAAATTTGTGTGTGTTAAAAGTGCTAAATCATATGTTTCAGAAAATGATGCAGTAGAAAATATTAAGAATTCTATACTTGAACAATGTAAAAACTATAACTTTGATGTTGAAATAGTACATATGAAGGAATATACAAAAAATAATATATTTAATCCCTATAATACCTCAATTGAGCATTCAGATTGTTCAATAAATGTGAATAATTTACCTGCTACTATAAAATATGATGTTATAAAAAAACTCAAACAGAACATTTTTCTAGAAATTGCAAAGAAACTACGATGCAAAATAATATTTACAGCAGAGACAACAACAGTTTTAGCTACTAGATTATTATCTAATTTAGCTATAGGAAGAGGCTCACAAGTTGAAAATGATATTGTAAGTACATAGATGAAAATATACTCAAACTTAAAATAAAATCTTTGAATATCTTACAATATGAACTATATTTCAGGGATTTGTCGACAACCGTGATGGATGTGTAAAAATCTTAAGACCAATGAAAGATATAAGCAATGAAGAAATAGAACATTACATAAAAATAAATAAATTAAAGCCACCAATTAATATAAAACACGAAAAAGAAAATAGCTTACAATCAGTTATACAGACTTTTGTACTTGATCTCCAAGAAAATTATCCAGCGACAATATCAACAATTTGCAAAACTGCTGATAAAATGAGCTCCCATGATAATTTGAAAAACCAAAAAAAATGCACAGCATGCCAGGTAAAATTCTTTTATCATTTATTTTAATATTTGTGTGTGACACTAAGAACACTATAAGACTAAATGCCAATAATTATAGCATTAATAAATGTTAAGCTTTAATGTGAGCAATGTAATGGCAGTCTATTACTTACAACTCAGAGAATATAAAAAATAATACCATGTTCTTTTGTATTTTTTAGCACTAATTCTCTTCTTGTTGAAAGAGAGATAACGTAAGCTTATTTAATTTGTCTTTTAATACTTTCTTAGATTTACGTGAATATTTTAAATAAAACTATCTTTATAACATTTTAAATAAAACTATCTTTTCGGATTTAATAAAAACCCCGAAAAGATAGTTTTATTTAATTTGTCTTTATCATAGTGAATTTCAATTACTATTTTTATTAATTAACATTTAATTATCACTCAGTAACCAAATTGTCATTTATTTATTGGCTACAAATATTATTGTTTGTTGAAATGTGAAAGTTTGTGAGGATGGATGGATGTTTGTTACTCTTTCATGAAAGAACAGCTGAACGGATCTGGATAAAAGACACAGAGATAGATTATAGTCTGGCACATAGGTTGCTTTTTTCCCAGCAAACGGTTTATTAACCGTTAGTATAGATTTCTCAGAGATATTTTCCTACAGTAAAAAGTATCCTGTATGTTGACCTGGATAACTGGCTATCACCATACCAAAATTTCATCAAAATCTGTCCAGTGGGTTTCTCGTCATACATTCCCAGACAGACAGACAAAAATTCTAAAAACTATAGATTCGGCCTCTGTATTAATAATAATGACTATTTCAATAAAGTTTTCCAAAAAATATTTAACGTACAGATTCGACTCAGAACTTTATTATATGTATAGATGTGCCATTCTATATACTTCCAACGTGTCTAGTCAGATCGATCGATATTATCGAACTGTCTATAGTCACATGTTTATGCTTGTGTCTACTTATTCTACTTTTTTAGATTTGCATGAATGTTTGAGATTTTTAGTAAAACTTTTTTTGCGGTTTTAGTTTGGTTTTCGGTTTCCAGCGTTTATATGATCTGAGAATGTATGCGGGATTGATGAAATATTTTTAGGGATTAGCTGTAATTGTTTGCGTATAATTCTTTCGAGTGTATTTTTCTAAACTGACTAATAAACTAAGAATTCATAACTGTTACCAGTTATAAATTAATATTGCATACGAAATGAAGTTTTCTATATAGTCTTACAATTAGAATATTTTATACACCGCGCTAGGATGAATGACACAAATCAACCGAAAAATTAATCGGTAATTCACTACATAAAAAATTGCTCAACTTCTCCTTTTTTGGAAGTCAGTTAAAAGTACTTCATAATATGTCAAGTAAACAAAACAAACTTGATTTTAAAATTAAATAATACGGGCTCTTTTTATAAATCATATTTCAGAGTACTATGGACATGAACCGTGCAAGTTTGACTGCTGTCGATGCTACAATGTTCTCTAAAAAAGTTTCATTTAATAAATGTGGAGAAGAAAGTGATATTAATGGTGTATTAAATAATGAAGACAATACGATGTTTCCATTTATCTACGATAGTTTGTGTTATTGCTGCAGTAGGAATTATGCCGAGCTGCAAGATTGCAAACAAAAACACATGTTGTAAATTTTAATAATAAATAGGAAAAGAAAAGATACTACTCTTTTATTTAATCTTATCTCATAACTTTCTATTTTCGGCTATATATACCTGTTGGCTCTCAAAATATGAATTAACACGTGTTAAAACAAAAAAACAAATATTTTTAATGTTAAACGTAATTTTCTAGCACATGGTACAAGTTGTTCTCTATTAATTCTGTCGGTAAAGAATTTCTATTTGTTCATCTGTATTTTATATAAATATATGTATATTGAACTAGCATCCCTAAATAACTTTACACTTATGTCGAAATTTAATCAGTGAAATATCGTTGGTTTAAAACATTTTTCTGTAAAAGTTAAAACACAAAAACAAGTATATAATTTAAAAGTTAAATAATCGTATCGCTTCTTTAATACTATTAAATGTCTACATATTTGTTATACATTGTTTTCACTTTTATGTATATATGTACAACTACTTTGTTAGCGCATGCGGATAAAGCAACGAAGTAGCACTTATTTACCCACTCGATTCATTAATACAATAACACAGACAATATAACCTGTAGTGTGTGTGTACAATAACCAGGACAATTTTAATTCCATCACATTCCTCCTGTAGAAATGCAAATCATACAGGAAAAATCATATCCAAATCCGTTCACTACTTATCGAGATTAGTGCGCACATAATGTGTACGTACAGACATACGGATGCGGATAGATGCCCGCCGCCGAATTTATTGGCACGAGCTTAAAACAACAATGTTGTAAACCTAGACCTAGTAAGATGGATTCGATTTCCGTCAGAGGCAACTTATTTTATTCAGGCTTCAGGAAAAGCTTCCCTGTTTATGGACTAACGACTCACCCTTGCCTCGCTCAGGTTCGTCCCTAGTCGTAGGTACACTTTGACGCTTAATATGGAATAGATTTTTTTCCATTTTTTTTTTGTCGTGTATTTTTCTAATATTTTAACAGTTATTCTGCTATTCGGAGCGAAGACAAATCCAACAAAACAAAGATCATAAAAATCGGTCCAGCAGTTATCGAGTTATACCTAAGTGTTGTAACAAACCCGACATTGCTTTATTATCTTGTATGTTTATTTTTGTATAAAAAAAATGCAAATGGAGGCAAAAATTATGAAATGGACTGCCAATGCAAAAAAAGTGGGAAAAATAATATGTGGAAATTTAGGACACTTTTCTTTCAGTCTTTCAGTTTTTTTTAAGCTGAGGGTCGCCTTCGAAAAAATGTTTTGAAATAAAAGGATCGTTTGTGGCCCGGTGGGGCCCTCTTGAATCAGGGGCCCCCATGCGACCGCATTGGTTGCATTGGCATAGCTACGCCACTGCTCCGACTGCATAATCTTCTTTGCTTTCTACGCAGTCGGAATTTTTATTTCTTTAAATAATTGTTTATTTATTCCAGTTATATTTTAAAAACGATATTCAATGAACAAACTATTTTAATCCTGCTTTGTAATTAGGCCGTATAAGTATTCTTTATAGGTAATCATTTTATTTACTTGATCGCCCATACATTGAGAAAGAAGTTAATTTGATTAGTTCGTAATCATACTTAAGGCGAAACAGACTGAATTAATCTAAGCAAATAAAATGTGTAATAAATGAAACTTATGCATTCTTTTCTTAGAGGATGCAATGTTTACATTGTATGTACAAAAACTACCTACACATTTAAATTTATTGGCTTTAATCACAAGAACGTTATGTATACTTTTACTAGAATTACTACTTACATCAGAGAAATTATAGTACCAAGGTCTGCCACTGCACTAGTATGGCATCTACTTGGAGTTGCCTAATATGCAGATCACAAATTCGCTACCAGTACAAGAATATAAAGATATATCAGAGATATTTATCTCCATTTTATATCATAAAAATCTTAATTCTACATTATTCCGTCTTTTGATTGGCGCCAGAAGTCAATTGGCTACCTATAATAAAACTATGGTGTCTCTGTTTGTCCGTTAGTAGTTCATTTTAATGTAGCAAACTAGAAATAATCTGGTGACTCTTATTAAGCAAGAAATTCTATAGCAGGTAAGAAAATGTGTCTAACTGAAGAATTAAGAAGACTTCTAAAGAAACAAATTTCTATGAAAATATTTTTTGTAGCTCCAGAATCATATTCATATGAGATAGATAGATATATATCAATTGATAAAAAATATTACTTAACTTGTATTCTCAAAAATATTGTATTTAATACAAAGATTACTGAACAACACAACAGTATACTATTTCATAGGTACTCTTTAAAAATATTTTATAATTATGTATATTAGGTGACAGAGGGATATTATCCAAATATATGCTATCTGTAGTATATATTAAATACAATAAATCCAAACGATTTCCAGGCAAAGTTAGTCTGTTTATTAAGAAAATTTTGATGCAACAACTTGAAGTTATCACACTAAAAATAAATTATAATCAATGAGGCCCACCTCAATATTGTAGATTGATTTCATTTAACTATAGTACGGGGCGCTAACATAACTTACTAAAAATATACTAATAGAAGCAATATTTTATTTGACATATCTAGTTATTAATTTAACTGGTATTTTTATAAATCATGTAATGAAAAAACAGTTACATCTTAAAATTTTGTATTTATCAAACATATCTACATTTTATCATTATAATATAAATACAAAATTTTAATTGAAGTATCAACAAAAAGTTTGCTAACCAGTATTCGCAAGTGGTACGCAGGTGTTATCAGTTATATCATACAAGTAATTACAATATCAATACCGTAGGTTAATAAATGCAAAAGATCAAGTGCAATGAAACTCCAGGTAGGTTTTTGTTATTTCAATAATTCATATTGAACTTTACATAAAAGATAGATGGTGAATCTAAAATCGTTTTAAACTTTTAACTCATTAGATACTTGAAAGTAACAGTAATGAATGTTTCCATGGACTTGGTGGTTTGTACCAGAGATAAAACACTTTAAAAACAATCAATAAACCAGATTTTACTAATATTAAACACTAAATTATATTGTCTTTCCAAATGATACTTCCATTTAGTAGAACATTGGAAATACACCAGTTTTAAATTGAACAGAATTACTCCTATAGCTGTATCTTCTCTGTCTCAATAGTGGACAGTGTATTTGGTGTTTCTTTCAGCTCCTCTTAATTTGTCAGGAATTCTTGTACAGGTAAATACTTCATTATATAGTGTTATAAAGAGCATTATGGAATTTAACAACAATTACTCTGCTGCATTTATTGGTCCTTCCAACGCATTAGGACTAGGAGAATTAGAAGATACCATTCGACCTTGCTCCTTTACAATTGGGTCTGAAACATTAAATATTATAACTTGAGCAAACATTACTAAATAAAATATATTTTGTAATTATTAGCATTATTAGCTATAAGTTTTGTATTTCTTAAGTACATTATATATATATATATATATATATATATATATATATATATATATATATATATATATATTTATATATATATATATTATAAATGTCTCCTATACATTATTCTTTTTAAAAATGCAAGATATTTATGTGCATGAGTTTTTTTTTTAAATATAACAAAAGTTAAGGACTTGGAATATTAAGTTAATTTGGACTTACAGAAGTAAGGATGATCCATTGCTTCACGAGCTGTATAACGCTCATAGTGGTCATAGCGCAGAAGACGGTCAAGAAAGTCCAAGGCCTCGGGAGAAACTAAATGTTGATTCTCTGAATGCACAAATCTCTCCCATCTTTTGCGAGAATGTCTGTGTGAATACAGAAAGAAAGAAAACATTAGTAAATCAATACAGTTAAATATTTTAATAATTTATTTGCTATGCAGATTTTTTTAAATTACCTTCCAAGAATGTCATTAAACCGTGGATCCAATTCTATATGATACTTATCCAAATATTCAAACAGTTCTTCAGTGCCCAGCACTTTTGCAATACGTACAAGCTGGTCATAATTATCATGACCATGGAAGAAAGGCTCTTTACGGAAGATCATAGATGCTAACATACATCCTAGTGACCACATGTCCAGTGAATAATCATACATTTGATAATCCACTAAAAGTTCAGGACCCTGAAATAATATCGATCAAGTTAATATTAAACATAAATAACATTTTCATGAATTTATTTATTTTATATTGGAAACCTGCTACAAACCTTAAAGTATCTAGAAGCGACACGAACATTATACTCTTGCCCTGGATGATAGAACTCAGCTAACCCCCAGTCAATAAGACGTAGCTTTCTATTATCATGATCAATCATCACATTATGTGGTTTAACATCTCTATGCATTATACCCATACTGTGGCAATAATCTAAAGCCTTCAAAAGTTCATACAAGTAATATCTAAAATAACAATATTTCACATATTATTCATACAAAAGATATTGATAATTAAAAAGCATAAAATTATCTATATATATATATATATATACCTTATATCATAATCTGACAATGTTTGATAAAGTTGCTTAAAATCAGTGTTATTCACATGTTCAAAAATTAAAGCTGGAGTACGAGATACAGGATCTTTTACCACAGCTTGTAAAGTAATTATATTTGTGCCTCCTCTTAGGTTCTCTAATATTTTTATTTCTCGTTTTATCTTCTTCTTTTTAACAGGCTGTAAAAGAAAATTTAAATTATGGTATTTATTAACATGCGTTTTTATACATACATTGAATAATTTTAACATGAATATTTCTCACTAGTCATTAATATAGGAAATAGTGTTTAAACAAATTACATACAATATTTAGACAAAATTCGAAACTCCAATATCACAACCATTATATTTATTTTTAAGTAAATAACAAAAGATTGAATCAGTACTCACCTTCAATATTTTAACTACACATTTCTCATTATTTATGACATTTATTGCTTCAAATACTTCACTGTATTTTCCGCGCCCAAGCTTCCGAACTAACTGATAGTTTTCCTGGTTACCCCAATCCACCACATAACTCTCATAATCCCAGTATTCTCTAGGCTTTTGTGAGTTTACATCGGCATATACACGGGCTCTACTAGGTACTGCCATCGTCTTATAACTTTGCCAACCTAAGGTCTTGTCGACGACACTCTTACCGGAAATCGCATATGTCTTGAGTAATGATACTGTGAATAAAAATATTTTCGACGTCACTTTGAGAGAATCACTATCACACTCTACTATAATAATTCTAATAGTTCAAATCGTCACTGGGAATCATTACTAGCGATTATGAACGATTACGAGTCACTTGTATTGATGTATAACCTAAAAACGACGTCCAACTCAATCATTTAAAATCAAACTGCGAGTCACTAATTTAAATAATGCAATTATTTAATTATTTCCAAGGACTTTTTAAGTGTGATTTTTAATTAAACTTTAAATATAGCTCATGCTACAAAAATGACATAAAATTAAATTTGAAAGTCTTCAGAGAAAAACGCACGCCATTACTCGTCAAATGATCAAATGAATCAGGCACATTCTCATACCTAACACATTCCTGTAGATAATCCTATTTTAAACAATAAATAGTATAAGCATACATAAACTTCTTGAAAAATAACAATTAACTGGGGGTCTAATATACAAATTACACTTTTATCACATAACCGGCACAAATTCAGCAAATTTCAAGATGGACGCCCATCCATCCATCTACCATTGCTCTAGTCTTGGTCTCTCTCCCTCCCGCCCCTACTATACACCATTTTGTCGACTTGTTGTTTGTTTGACATTGTGCACAAAATTACAGGTTTAAAATAAATTGTACAAGCCTACAAAAATAATGGCATTTAAAAATATGTATAAAATGACAAAATGTAAAAATTATTACACTTATATTTTATAGTACTTATACGATTCTAACAAAATAAAATTTTTATTTGACCATTTTTAGATTATTTTCATTAAAATTTTCATAATTTTAAATATATTGATTAATAATAGAAATTGGATTATTTTAGATATTTAACAGTTAATATTGATATAGTTTATTTGTAGTACATAATCTAGTATAAAGGTATCATGGATGAGGTACGTCTGAATGAGTGAGAACTTCGTAAGCAAAAGTTATATTATCTGCAATCTCATGTATGACCAACTAATAAAATTATAATTTATCTATAAAGTACTTCTAATTTATTATTTTAAAGACTTACAATAACTTGTTCATATTTTATATTGTTTTACTTACCCAATATTAGTATATCGAAAAAAACTGACTTGCGTGGCATGTTGCGTAGAATAACTAATATTCGTAGGGTACGTATATTTTTATGTGAAGAAATAAATAATTTATACTTATATATAAATGCGAAAGTAACTCTGTCTGTCTGTTACCTTTTCACGCTTAATTAACCGATTTAGACGAAATTTGGTATGGAGATAGTATATATATATATATATATATATATATATATATATATATATATATATATATGGCATAGTCATAAGGTACCAGGGTTCGAGCGAAGCGAGGGTGAGTTGCTAGTCTAAGATATATTTAAGTTTTTAAAGACAAAAACTTTGCTAACAAAAATCGTCAAATATTGAATGTGAGTCGTAAATGTTAAATGAATAATATGGCAGTATAAAATTAAATTTAATCATCATGCAGCTGTTATCTATACGATATAAGGTATTAAGGTATAAAGAAACACAGGAATATTTTTAACATATTTTTAATATGGGATAATTAATATTACAAATTATATTTGTTTTACGACTAGTAACGATGTGCTGTTAGGTAACAGCGTTGTGGTTCTGTTATCTGTGCCCCACATTGTAGTTACGGAGAAAGTCGAGCCCAACAGGTATGTCCCCGGTCCGGCGCACAGAGCACGAACCTTTAATATAATATTATGTATTTATAAGCATAGACGTAATAGAGAAATTATTGATATTTTAAGTTGCCAGGAATTTTGCATTGTGAACACGTATTTTAAAAAAAATTACGTAGCACAAAATAAGAACATATTTTACAATTATTTTAATTTAAAATAGCGGTTTACCGCCGCTTGGCTCAGGTCTCCCAGCGCCAACGTGCGTTCACCTTGTCGTGGTGGGGGGGCTCAGTAGTGCCCGGCAATCCAGCCGGGCGCGAAGCCAAGAAACGCACAGAGAGGTGCACTCTTCGGGGGGGCAGTGTACCATGCGGGTTGCTCCTGGCACTTCTCTGATAGCAGAGTGGACCTTAGAGCAACCCCGTGGTTGTTGTGGTCTGCTTCGGCAGACCTACAGTCGGGGCATCGTAGTTGAATGCGTAAGCGATTCTGCGACGTCCCATTAAGACGGGGGTAGGCTTTGTTGTGGTTTAGTGGGTAGTACTGGCTTCGCCGGTGAGGCCCACACCTCGTGCGGAAATGCATTTCCCAACGTTAAAATAAAAGGAGCGTCCGTGGGTATATTTTATTTTTTTTGAGCAGAATCCTCATTCTTTTTCTAAAATAAGTTACTCTTATAATACCAGCTATCTGCCCGGGAAAGTCCCGTTAAAATCAGTCCAAACGTTTCGGAGATTAGCCGGAACAAACAGACAGTTTTTATAAGTACCGTATTACAAGCGCGATCCGGGGGGCAAGTAGAAAAGAAGGAATAATACAATTTAGGTTAGGTACTTTAAAAAGTAATTTTGTCGATAAAATTGATAATTTTTACTTTGTAAACTACATTTTTTTTAATAATCATTGAAAAAGTGTACTTTATTGACCAAATTTAAATTACACAGATATTATAAACAAAAAAAAATAAGAAAAATTAAAAAACGGGTTTTTTGGAAATACATATGTCGGAAACTTTGAGGTTATTGTAAAAGTCGTAGTTTAGACTAGACCTTCTTGTGTAAAGAATATTTTTGGATAAGATGTAACAGTCACAAATTGAAAAAAAAAACTATTTTTCAATGTTTTACATCCCCCCGTTTCTCGGGGGTAGCTGGACAGCGGAGGCGTTTTACGGATTTTTGTTCCTTATATACCTGCTAAAGTTTTAAAGCCATAAAACTTAAAGTTTTGATTATTTTTTTTAAGTCATTGTTTTAAAAAAAACATTTTATGTACAGAATTGTTACTATTTTATTTTGTGTATATTTCAGCCTCTGACCACCCCCATCTATAATTTCATAAGCTTAGTAAAAAGCTATTATTTTGACATTACAAACAGACACTTCAATTTTATTTATCTGTGTAGATAAATACTTATAATAATTTTACATATAAATACATATAATATTTTTTTATTTTTATAAATACATGTAATACATGTAATAATAATTTTACCTGAACTCGACGATATTCAAATTTCTCCAAAGTAATATTCAAACCTAATTCTTTAGAATCAGAATCAAGTCCATTGTTCAAGGCACCCGCCCAACCAAGTTCTCCGGAAGATTCCCTACAAATATCGACATTAATAAGGCTAAATAGTAAATACAGATATGCTTCTTGCATTTTAAATGTTATACAGACACTAAGGTGATGATCAGATGTTTGGATCTTTACTAATGAAATACGCGCGTAAAATGTTAATTTTTTTTGGAGAAACTTGACAAAGACTATATCCTCTGTAACTTTCAATGATATACTTCCCGTAGGTTCAAAGCAATCGCAACAAGAGACCTAGCGATGTCACTGTAGTTATTCAATAACGGGTTCTAAAAGAAATAGTTACTCATATTTCCTTAACTACTCTTAACCCACCTGTTTTGTTGTTTAGACATATCTATAAAAACAGAGACGGGAACACCATAGCAATTTACAATGTTGATGACAACAGGTACCATACATAACTTATTTGCCTTAAAATTATGATCGATGTAATTGGAATGTTCGAGTCTGAAAATAATGATATTATTTTTCTCACTCCTTCCTTTTGTTTCGTGTAATTCAAGTCGACTATCAATATCGTCGAGTTGCATAGGTATATCCATTAGTAATTTTTCTCGTTCATGAGAGAGTGTTTTATTGAAGCAGTCCAGCCAAAGACAGTGCTGACCGACAGCGGAGCGGCCGGTTTTTTTATTATATGCTTTCCATCTCAATATAAACATGGATTGTATCAGGCCGACTTTTTTCTGACCATCTTGATTAGGATCTGATACTTCGAATGGAGAAGATATTTCGTCGGTCACAAACTTTGAGTAGGGAGGCTTATTGATGTCGATTCGGCTTTCGGCCAGATGGGGAGCAATTTTAAGACGAGAGTACTCGACATGGCCTTCGGGTAATGTATCGAATATTCTAATGCTTTTTAGGATAAAATGGACTCTCTCACGCGATATTAGGCTATTATTAGTATCAATGGCAGTCGTGAGGTCAGTCAGCTTCCACTGTCTACTCAGTAATGAGGTTTCTAGTACTTCTATGCTTATATCCTCCTCTTTCTCATTGCATATGTTCTTCACCTCAACAGATAAGTGCATATTTTCTAAAACTTTTTCATTGGAAATGTTTAAGCCTCGTCGAGGAGTGGCTAGTATTTCAACAGTTTCCTGGAAGTATAATTATTTTAAACAAGATTAAAAGAATATTACTTCACGGGAAATAATAGTTTATTTATTGCAAATTAACTGCCATAGTTAGTCTTGGAGTGTTTACAGCTTTGAACCAAAGTTATTAACTTTTACTAAATTTATGTTCCATGCGCAGTATACCTTAGAGTGGCACTGTTATGATAGACGTACTATATATTATAATATTATATGAAAACATAATATAATAGAATCTTCCAGTCAAAAATTTAGTTACAGTGACTAATATCAATGATTAATGAGAAACGACTCCAACACCAGTAAGAGATTAAACGTCAAACACGAGGACTCGAACCCATAACTTCCGAATTTGCAGTTGTACATGCTGACTAAGCCTTTTGTAGTATATAACATACACGTCGAAGTTTTTATCAGGAAATTCTCATTAACATGCGGTGGCAGAGCACTTAAAGTCATCGGTCTTGCGCTTAATATCTTACCCGTTTTGTGGATTTTCGTTTCATCGGAGTATAAGAGACAGGAATAGACCCCATTTGTATTAGCGCGCATTATTACGCATTAAAGAGCTCTTAAAGGAAATCGAAAGAAGTCTCAATGAGAATAGCCGCGATGACCGTAATAAGTCAGGAGAAAATTATAAAAGAGTACATAACTTCAGTTTAACCCGGGACTCGAACCCAGGACGAGCATCCAGTTTCGTATGTGCAGCAATATATACAAACGAGTCCACTGACAGTGGGGTTGAAGCGGAACACGTGTCGGAGCAGGCGGTGCGGGCGCGCGCGCTGGCCGGTCTCGTAGTAGGCGAGCAGGTAGAGGCGCGGCGCGCGCGCGCGCGGCCGCAGCAGCAGCGCGGCGGCCGCGCCCGCGCCGCACACGCGCACGTGCGCCGCGCGCCGCGCCGCCGACCGCGCCCGCGCCGCCGCGCGCGCCGCCCGCTCGTCTGCACACAACGATACTATCTATATTTAAACTGTTGATTTCCTCTCGTTCGGACTACACTGACTCTCTTTCAATTGAATTAACGGTTCAAAATTGCTTTTATAAATCTGATCGAGTAAAGTGTTATATTATTTCATGTTATTGCTATTATATAGTGCACCTATATATAACACGGTATAAAAATCCATACTGTCTGAGGTCGCCTTTGATTACGGAAATGCAGACTGTGAATTACAAACTCTTAAAAAAATTAAATCCAAAAGAACGTCTGTTTCGACTTCAAAAATAATATCTGTGTAATTGCAGTAAATACTATTTTCACATTTTAAATTAATAAAAATATTTTTATATATAATATGTATATAATATCTATGATACATTATTATTTAAACGCTACTGTAAAAATATCTATTTTGCTTTGTAAGTTCATAATATAAAATATACCCAGGTATGTAATTTGTAAATCAAATAGAAAAATGTATCACAAACCAGAATACTCAGGTTGTTCTCTATACTTCTCCTCGTAAAGTACATTAAAGTCATCTTTATCATCATCCGCGCTGACGACGCTCATACAGTCAGGATGGGAAACAGCAACATATAAGTTTTGCATCGGAACTGGGCCGACGTTACGAAATTCAAGATCGACTGTTAGAATTTCCCCACTGATCACGTCTTCAGAAATTTCAGACAGGGTCATCTATAAAAATTAAAAAAATACAGAAGAAAACAAACATTTAGTATAAATTGTTAGTATCAATATTTTTTCCATATTATAATATTTCAACTAAGAAAATCTGAGTATCGGCAGCCGTTTTATTACTTAAATGTGAGTTCATAAACATATACATTAAAGTCCATATATATAATAAGATTGTAACTAAGTCGAATCTGTACATTAAATATTTTTTGGAAAATCTAATTGAAATAGACATTATTATCGATACAGAGTCCGAATCTATAGTTTTTAGAATTTTTGTCTGTCTGTCTGTTACCGCATCACGAGAAAACCACTGGACAGATTTTGATGAAATGTGGTATGATGATAGCCGGTTATCCGGGTTAACATATAGGATACTTTTTACCGCGGGAAAATATCTCATTTCTGAGAAAAAATACAAAAACTGCACTGTAAGAGTATACTAATATGTAAAACCTAAGAATTTGGTTTTTGGTCATCTGAACGCGGGCGGAGCCGCGGGAAATGCTAGTTATATAATAAAACACAACATACCTGTAAACATGGCGTTTCAGGAATAACTATTATTTGTAAAAGTTTGTCTGAATTATTGGTGCCACTTTGCAAATTTAATTTTCCCATTATAGCCACACCGTTTTCATTTTCTTTTCCTCCGGCCACATTGATAAGTCTGAAAAGGTGATAAAAATATTCCAGGTTTATTAATGTAATAAATTAACATTAAACAAATAAATTAACAATAAATTAACATAATGTTTTATAAAGGTAAAACAACAAGCAATTAAAACTTAAAAACTTACTTAAAAGCTAAACCTTGTATAGTAAGCTGACCAATCTTTAAAGGGGTTATTATGAAATTTAACGTCTTTTTACAATCTCCATCTAATAGAAAGGATTTGATCTTTTGTCCGTGTATCACATTGCTCTCTAGATTCTGTCCCGCGGCTAACGAGGGTTCATTGTTCAGCACTTCATCTGTGTGTTCTCCAGGATCTTCCGCACTGGGCGCGAACTGCCATAATAATTCAACATCTTTCAAAAGCAATGAAACCTTTAACGGATTGAATAATGTTACTGAAACTTGTATTGGTTCTGGAAAGAAATTGATTTTGATAAGAAGACAATAAAAAGTTGGAAGTATTTGTAATACAATTTATCAATGTGAACATACCAACAATAAAAATTACTATAAAACAAAAATCACTTAGTTTTAAAGCTTTAACGTTATTTACTATTTATATATAAAAGTATGTCTAATCATCATCCTCAATAGTGTTTGTTGTCTAACTGAATAAAGTTTATTTCATTTCATTTCTAATCCGATGAGTCGTTATATTTTCGATGCCAATTTTAGCACAAATCGATCAAACTATATTACAACTTGAAGTAGATATTAACAAGTAAACTCACTCAACTTCATTTGCGCATTTATTACACCCGTGTAATATGCCTTACCTCCTTGCGGAACAATAGGGTTGCTGTCAGTTTTCTGTGTATACAAGTCTGTAGTCGGTTTGAAAATCATGGGTACACTTCCTTGTGCTACTTGTAAGAGAGTTTCCTCCAGTTTGTGCCAGTAGGGGTCATCCTCACTGGTGTCTGGCGAAGGGGGCAGGGACAACGACGAGGCCGGGGTCCGCCCCGGGGAGGATATAGGCGCGGGGCCCACGCACAAAATGGCCGTATCTTCCACGGATAATAAAGGCACCGGTAACTCTGGAAGACGCTCTATAAACTCCTCCGATGACTCTACCCATTGCTGTAAACAATTTTCCAGGTATACAGTTATCTCTACAGTTTTATTTTTAATTAATAAAAAAAATTGATCATATACTTATGTAAATTATTCTCTTCAACATCCGCTTGTTAAATTTGAGCATTGAGTTTTCATAGCATGCAAATAATCTTCAGAGTATGTATTTTATTCACAATAAACTCATTTAAAAATACACTTTTAAATTAAAAAAAATATCCTTTTTTTTAAATACAGTTGATATGTCAATACAATTATATTTTTTATAGAGATACATATAAGGGCTAGTTTTGTGTATAAAATAATCAAGTATTAAATTATAACTTAAAAAATAAAGAAGAAACTCTTTAAATAATTATAATATTCATATTCCAATACTATTAGTTAACCATTAAAATAACTTAAAATCTAATTAATTTAATGACATTGCATTTTGACGATTTGTGGCTTCTCCACCTACGAGCAACCTATGAGCATTACATATATTAAAACATTTATGTTAGATATCGATTTACAAATATTTAATTTTAGAAACGGTTTCGAAAAAAAAAACATCAGAGCTTTGTATTTTAAATACAACTTATATTATAGTTAGTTGCGAGTTTACAACAAAACAAAATATGTATTGATGAACAATTATTATATAATATCCTAGTAAGAATTAGATATTCTATTTTACAAAAGTAAATATTGGATACGTGACAAAAACAATTATTAGCATACAACGGTTATTTAACTTCTTTCATTTTTACAAATGTGTTGAAGACTCGTACATAACACGCCATTCACCGGCAAAGAGGTCATATCCTCCAATTTTTTCTTACCTAATTATTACCACTGAGATTACTTTTTAATACTATATTTTCTCTGACACTCTAAGTCGTCTCGTATATAGCAAGACCTACCTCAAATGGTTTAGTAAATTGTCGCAGGACCATTTTATATTTATTTCCCTTGCCAAATTATTACGTCGAAGCTCTATGCTCGAGTTTCTAGGCGGGGTTTTCCGTGCGTCTCCCCACCGGTGGTGACGTCGTAAAGGCGATAAGGGCCAACAGCAACACATATTTCGAAAAACTATTTCCAAAGAGACAAGCTGTAAATAATGGGAAAGAAGAGTAATAAAGTGATGCCAACCTGGTGCGCGAGCATGAACTCCCTGAGGAAGGCGTCCTGCATGGCGCGCGGCTGCGGCGAGGCGGGCGCGAGCGGCGCGCGCAGCCACGCGGCGGCGGCGGCGGCGCGCGGCGCCCGCAGCGCGCCCGCCAGCCGCCCCAGCGCGAACTGCACGTGGTCCGTCGACAGCCGCCACCCGCTGCCGCCGTACACCTGCCGGCAGTCCACCGCACTATACTCACCGTCTACCGAACCAGACCATACTTGTCACTGAGTTGAACTTATTTGTTCTATAAAATTTTTGTTTTATTATATTTTAAGTACAGTCATTCTGGATAACATTGGGCCTACGTTGTAATATTGAATCGGAACCTGGACGAATGCTTTTTTTTAATCGACAGTTAGACAAAAAATTAGTACATGCTTGTATGTATTGTAATATATACAAATAAATAAAATTGAAGTGTCTGTTTGTAATATCAAAATAACAGTGCTTTATTTACTAAATGCATATGAAATTATATACGATACTTATAAAAAAACACAATATTTTTAACACAATATTCTGTCTGTCTGTCAGTGTCAATACAAAATTTATTGTGTAATCGAAATTTATTTTAAAATATATCCAAAAATAACATTAATAATTGAATTAATAGTATAAAAAATGTTATAAAACACAACAAAATCGAAAGTGCTTAATATTTAACACCATTCAGAAAAAGAAAGACAATAGCATTCCCAAGGAGGGTTGACGTCAGGCAGGCGGCCGGTCGTAAAACTTTTGCCAAATCCTATCAGCAGTACACTGAAGATGTACTGCGCCGACCCCAAGTGATTTGGGAAATGGGCAGGGAGAAGAAGATTCTGTCTGTCTGTCTGTTTGTTCCGAATAATCTCTAAAACGGCTGGACTGATTTTGACGAAGCGTTTATTGGAAGATAACTGATGTTATAGGGAGTAACATAGCCTACTTTTGTTTTAGAAAAAGAATTAGAGTTCCGCTCAAAAAAATAAAACATTACCTAGGGACGAACCAGAGCGAAGCGAGGGTGAGTCGCTAATAGTATTAATAATAACATTCTTTACGTAATGCGTGACGAAGCACCAATTGAGAACGACTGGAGTCTGAACCGTTTTGACTGATTTCTTTTTCGTTGTGTTCGTATTTTCAGTTGTAAGGACAAGGTTTATACGACTTTTTATTTATAAATTTAACCGGAAAGTCGGAAATATGGGTGATCCTTCTATATGAAAATCCCAATACTATAGAACGACATTCAGTTTATCAGTTCCGCTGCTACATGTTTTTATAACAACAAAAAACATTCAATATTTTAATGTACACGACCTCTCTATGATATTATTACAATTAGGTACCAGCCTTGCTCCCCGCTTTCACCCGCGTTCAAAGGACCAAAAAGATAAATACTTTATCTCTATGTATCAGAAAATATTTTGTTAGCCAACACAATCTTTAAATGAAAATGTTTATAAATTTTACTCTGATCATTAAACTTCGGTAAACCACTATATAATCATTCTGTACAAATTGTTGTCAAACCATAACAAATAATAAAATAAGAGTATATGTTATTATTAAATAAAACTATCTTTTTGGATTATGTTATTATTAAATAAAACTATCTTTTCGGATTATTTCGCGGATTTATTTTGATTTTTGGTTCCCGACGTTTCGAATGCTTTACAGCATCCATGGTCACGGGAGAGACTGAGGTGTCATGAATGTCTTGAAGGTAGAGTTGTTACAGACCATGGATGCTGTAAAGCATTCGAAACGTCGGGAACCAAAAATCAAAATAAATCCGCGAAATAATCCGAAAAGATAGTTTTATTTAATAATGTCAAACATTCGCGTAAATCTAAGAAAGTATTAGTACCTATGTTACCAGAATGACTTTAATAATTCAAAATTTAAATCAAAATATTTTATTCAGCATTAAACTATTACAATTTTTTACTGAACGTCATGAGTCTACTACCAGTTCGGAAAGATTTTATCTAAAGTGTTCATCCTTTGCAGAGGAACATACAGAAGGCTGTCACTGTAGCTTTATCTTTCATGAGTTAAGGACAATCATTTTGTATTATTGCAAAAATTAAAAATATTATATCTGTGGATGTTTGACACTAAACAAGCAGATAACATTAATACAAAATATTAACCTGATACGCCTGTTTGTAGCATCTGTAAGCATGTTTCTTCTGACCGGCCTTAGAAAACCTGTGTCCTGCGAGCACCATGTGGAAGGCATATTTTCTCGTCATTGTCTTGTTACTTGGCCCTTTCAGGAAACACAATGCCGCTTGTTCTAGAAGCATCGCGCTTCGCAGGTCGCTGTCCTCCGATGTCATCCGTATGAGTTGCTTGGCGGCCTCGCCGTACAAGCCCGCGTTGATCAGACATGGCACTGATAGCAACGTAGCTCTTACTGCGTATTGCACCATCCTAGATACATTTATATAATCCATGCATGTAAATATATCCCCTCTACCTATCCCGTAAGGGATATAGTTCATCAACAGGAGAGATTCAGGGCAAACTTTTCGATAATCTACTAATACTTCAATGATATTTATTTATTTATTACTTGTAAAACTAAACATCAGCAGATTTTAATAATGGTTGGACCAAAATAAAAGTTGCTTCGTTTTTTTTATCAAATTCATGTTAACAGCTTAGAAGTTTTGGTGGTTTTACATGTGCCTACGAGAACACACAAACGACGTGGGTCCTAGACCTAGTTTTCGGGCTTTAGACTGAAAGCACCTATAATGGTATTGGAGACAGTAGCTATAGGCCGCATAGGATAGTCCGAGACAGACCGATAGTTGTAATAAAGCAAACGCATTCTACAAAACTGACTCCAGCATCGTTTTATGAATTTTGCAAGAAAATTGCTATCACAAATAATAGTACGCGAGCGGTATTTAAAAGAGCTCAGTTGCGGGGGAGAGATAGAACGAACGAAATTCGAATCCAAAAAGTAGAGTCGATCGAAGAACACAATAAGACCCACCTGCAAGTGTTGAGATAGGTGACGATACTCTCCTCCATGTAGCCGAAGGTCTTGCGCGAGGCGTCGCCGGCCATGAAGGCGCTGAGCGCGGCCATCTCCAGCGCGCCGGCGTAGCACAGCCACGCGCCGTCGGCGGAGAACTCGCGCTTGGCGGCGTGGTACGCGTCGAAGGCGCGCGCCCACTGCGCGCACAGCAGCCACGCGTCGCCCAGCCGCCGCAGCTGCAGCTCCGGGCACGAGCTCGAGTAACTTCGTCGACCAAATATATTATGAAATCCATTGTACTGGCTTGGTTTATGTGAATACATATTTAACATTTCATTTGAAAATGTTAACTTAAAAATGCTTGTCCAAGTATTTTTTGATTCGAATATATGAGGCGGTTTTTGACGTCTACACTAAAAATGCTGCCTAAACGATTTGAAATAAAGCAACATGATATAGCCTGTAAGGCAGAAAGACATCTAGGAGAGTGAGCGTAGGTCGCTAGTTTTAAATAAAACTATTTTATCAGATATATTGGCAGTTTTATTTTGCATTTTACTACTGCATCGTAGATCGTATTATCTATAACTTATAAAATATGGATTTATAATAAGACTAATAAAAATAATAAAATATAAATGTTACATACATAACTGTATTATTGACTGCCGTGTTCCCAGATTTACCAGTTGTAAACCATCTCTTTGTAGCTGACAACAAAGATCTACTCACACCCTTCTTATTTGCAACCTGCAATAAAGAATATTGCATAATATTAAGATTCACTATTGAAGATAAAACTAAAATCAAAGTATAAGCATTTTTACTTACAACTTCCGATAATTGTGCTATTTGTTTTCCAGATGTGAAATAAAAGCCTTAGATACATATTCTTGTAGGAAGTTTTTAATCGCTTCGATATCATTTGAGTTTAATAATGCACCATGAACTTCGGACAAACTGTCCGATGGCTTTCCGTACACATTAACACTTTCAGAGCTGCCAGAGAATGAATATGGCTGAAAAAAAAAACATTAAAAAATTGGTATTATACATGGAAAGTATTTACAAATTTGGATTTCTTTTAGAAATGGAAAAAAAATTTATGTGTGTATGTTTGTCTGTTTTTTTTTTGCATTCAAATGGCTAGATGGATAGTATGAAACTTAGTACACACTACGATCTCTCAATCTCAAAGACTATGATCTCAAGTAACACATAAGCAACTGTTAGTCACTAGCTACACATAGATAATTTAAATTATATCTATTGAATATAGTGTTAATGTTTTTTGTATATTTTATAAGAGACTTGATTATTTTCTAACAATGTTTAATTTTTATTTATATTTACCTGCAAACTGTTTGCATTATCATAAACATCATTTTCATTAGTTAAGGGATGTACACCTTCAGGATTCACTGCACTTAAGGTATTTTGCTTATCATCTACAAAGAATATGTACCACCAATCAACAGTTATATTGAAACTCAAAGTTTAAATGAATTATAACATTCAAAAAAAGACATTTTACTAGTAACAATAGTAATTTCATTCAAAAAATTATGTACATTAAAACATTGTCTTTAACATCAATACCTGGCGGTGTTGTATTTACTGGTTGAAATCCTGCTTGTGACTCTTGAGGTGTTATAGTAAGAGCTGACACTGACTGTGTATCGCTCTGGAAAAGTAAAAATAAAATATAAAAAAACATTCTTTAACTTTCATTTATCATTTCTGACATCCCATAATCCCATAAATCCTATAAATGTGAAAGTTTTGATGAATTTTTGTTGTCACACTAGAACGTCTGAACAGATTGGGATAAAATTTGGCACAGAGATAGATTATAGTCTGGAATAGAATAGGTTACTTTTTATCCAGGAAAAAAGAAATGGTTTATGTGCGATAGATTTGTTTTTGTACTTCACTAGGGATGAACCCAGGAGAAGCAAGGATGAGTCGCTAGTATATATATTCGTATATTCTACAGTATAAACAACAATATTATTATGACTATGTTTGGCAACCATAATATAGTGTATGTTTACAAACTATATTAATATTAATATTCTTTTGTTATCTCTTATTTATGTAAAGAAAATAAAAGTCCATTTATTTGTTGACCATTAAATAATTGAAAGTTTGATTTGAAATATTAAAAAATGATACAATATTTTAATCAATAGCAATTAATTGATTAGAATTTTCACTGTTATAAAACATATCCTTATAGATTTTCTTATTCAAGTGTCAAGCAGCTTTTAATTCCCCTATTTTAGTGGGTGGTATTGGCTTTTCTATCCGGTGATTCCCACATAACCACCTGTATCTTTACAGATTGTATGAGTAATATACTCGTTTCAGAAAATAAAAAAAAAAAGCTTTTAATTTCCCATGCTCACAAATTAAGTATGTATACCTGTAGTTCTGAAGGCCTCTTTAGATAATCACTCCAGTAATCAGTGGGCAGCTTAGCCTCTGCAGAGTTCTTGGAATTTATAGATAACATAAAACAGTTTGAAGCTCCAAAAGTTTGTTTTAATGTTTCGTAAGCTTTATCTGCTCTATAATATACAAATAAATAAAAGTTCATTTATTATACTAAACAAAAAAAGTAAATTTTGCACTTTTTAATTCTTTTCACTACTATGTTTATTAACTTGCAATAATTCTTGAAATATTAATATATTTATATGCTAAAAAGTAAACTTGAAATATATTTTTTTAATTATAATTATAGGAATAAATTCTTTTCTTAAAAAACAAAATAGTCTAATATAAATAATATAAATAAGCTCATTTTATAGACATACTTCTCTTTAGCAACAGCTGAAACATCATGTAAGAGAAGATAAGACTTTAGTACTGAACTATTAAACCACTTCGGTAATTTAGGTGGAGTAACATTCTGTAGTTCAGCATATTGCTGATTCAAACTATTATATACATCAATTATATTATCATCTAGTGTTGTTGCCACAATAATACAAGCCATGAAGTGTTTAGTAAATTCATGATCAGAAGGAAATTGCACTTCAAGATAAGTTTCTCTCCAAGCATCAAACCAAGGTGTAGTTTGTGGTATCTCAAAATTATGTCCATCTGTGAGCAAAAGTTATACTATAATATCATATTTAAATTATTAAAATATACAATTAATAAAATAAAAATTATACCTATATTAAGTGGAACAGTTTTCTCATCATAATTATGTAAGACTGCATTATTCAACTGTCTTCTTGCTTCAGTTGGTTGAAGTGGTTTCCAATTAATATCCCTGATTACTAAATTAAAATTCTTTATTGTACAAGTACTTCCTCCTGGTTCTCGAAGCTGTCCTGAAATATTCAATTAATGTGGTGCTTTTTACCATTCTTTATGCAAATACCTATTAAATTGTATTGAATTATCACAGTGATAACACCTTCCCAATCCAATTGCGTAAATGGTTGTAACAATTCCGGCAGTGTTAAATTATTTTTTGAAACTATGTTTTCTACTTTAGCACTGCAAAGTGTTGCGATTATTGGTGAGAATGAACTTTGAATGAATTCCTGGGCAGTTTTGGCCATTGTTATAGTTTTTTTATATTATAATGGAGAGTATTCATTAAAATTAGTATGTACTAATTTTCACCACATATTTAAATAATAAAATATTAGTTATTTTGTACATTTACACTTATAGGTCTTGATAAACTTAAAAGCGATTATTTAGAATATCTTTGAATTTTTAAAATTCTACTTAACATTACAAAATTGATAATTTTACACTTTATTCAATATGTATTACGAATAATCCTTGCAATTGTCAAACGTCAACTGTCATATTATGTCAATACGCAATGTTTTTGTTTATTGAAAAAAACATCGACAAAATAATTTATGTAAAGAAAAAAATGGTCAGGTCATCAGGGGGGTCAATAATTTATGTAAAGGAAAATGATGAAATGAATGAACTTTCCCCAGAGGTTTCTCTTCTGATAAAAGACAAATTGTTGCTATGGCGCTAAATGAATTCAAGAATAAGAACTGCAAAAAGAACTTCTCATAATAATAACTCTAAATATATTGGCTAGGTGCGATAAAGACGCATTTCCTATCATACATGACTTTCTGCTAGTTTTTCTAACACTTCCAGTGACAAATGCGTCTGGTGAGATCATTCACGTCGTTGCGGCGTGACGTCTAGGGTAGAGGTCAATCGCGGTCGAATGCGCAAGCGATCCCGTGGCCCTGTCTCTTGCGATCGGGATCAGCGTGGTGGTTGGTGGTTTAGTGGGTAGTCTGCTGCGCTTCTCGCAGCAGGAGTCCCACAAACTACGCGCGCTCCCCGCGCATGGGCATCCGTAAAGGGATTTCCCGTTTCCCCACGAATAAAAAAAAGGGTAGAGGTAACGCGAACTATATCTGTGATGAAAAAGTGTCCTTCGAAATACATTAAATTAAGGTGACAACACGGTAGCAAGTGGGTACATTTTGAAGAAAACGCCTAAAGTAATTATAGTAATACATTCCCTGCGGTATTATTAAGAGTTCACAAAAAATAAATCACTCTTTACGTTTATGGAGGGTAGAACTCTCCATGTTTACGTTTATATGTTAAAAATCAAACAAATGAAAGGAATAGATAGATCCACCAAGAGCTTGTATGGAACTGATTCATCTATTTTATTTGTCATCTGGATGGTTTATATCACCAAAGTTTTTTTTTGTTATATTTACCAAATTATTTTGGAATACGTAAATCATTTCAATAACTACTCAAATCATCCAAAATATTAAAATTTGCAAATCATCACACTTCATTCTATTTACATCTGCTAATTCATACCCTCTTGCTATGCTAGCGCCATTCTTGTGGGTTGAACTGTTATTTACCGCTAACAGGTGTATTTTCAACTTGTCTCCCGTATAAGATCACAGAGCACATTACTTATAAGATTTCCTTACCTACCTCTACCTCCAATACTTTATATTATATTTAAGAGGATTGTCGGTACATCCATATTCATATTGCTATTGACATCGAGAAAATGATTACAGGTTTGCGAAGACCAGTCGTAGGAAGAGATTAGTTTATTATTTAAGAACCATAACTATTTCAAAATAAATATTTTTTTCTTCTTTTTATTTCATAATTTTTAAAGAACAGAAGCAAAGTATGTATATTTTGCAAACTCGTACCTACTTACGGAAGCCAGAAAACTTTCGAATGAAGAATTTGAGGTTCACCTTAATTTCGTTACAGGCGCTTGTTTTTTCTCCATAGTCCATACAAAAAACAACTAAAGTTTATCAAAAATGGAGTGCTCGGATAAATTTGTAAATATCGATATGAAATGGGGAACAGGACCATGTTGGCAGAGTACGAGTTAGCGGACTTATTACGTCTTCCGAAAACTAGCTGGGTTCTCTCGTACATGCACATTTCCTCACGATGACTTCCTTCTCCGTAAGACAAGTGATAATCATATTGGAAATAATTGGCACATGAGTACATCAGAAAATGAAAACCCGGGATTTGAATTTCTTATTATTGAACGCTCTTAATTTGGTTTCCGAAACAAGCATGTTTCCACTGGGCTACCACTGCCTACACTAAGTATAATATACCTTTTTTGTAGACACTAGACAGTAATGTTATTTTATTTTGTTATCATATTTTTGAAAAAAAAAAGAAAACCAGAAATGCATGTCGCTTATATTTAATGAAAAAATCTTTTACAAAATTTTGGTATATCTAATCTTGATTCAATTCAAATAATTTTAACCATAAAGAAATATCTTAAATGCATTACTTATATAATAACTTTTTGTATAAAAAAAATAAAATTGAAACTAATACACATTTTAAAAAACAATGATACTTGTTTAAGATCACTTTCTAATACAAACATTATTAAGTGATTTGTCTAACTAGATGCGTTGGATTTTATGCAGTCGACGGAATGTTAAAACAAATTTTGCACACGTTAAACTTATCATCTACAATGATGAGATTCAATAGTATCCAAATCACACGACATTACTTAAAAAGTGTTAACTTTTGGGTTCCTTTATTAACTTTAGTCATTCCTCTTTTTGAATACAGTCCTTATAAAATCAGTCCATTTCTATTATTTTTTAATATTTAATAAATTATAAAGACAGTGTAAATATTTGTTTCCACAGTAGATGAAAATTTTATTTAAACTCTTGATAAAACATATATATTGCCACTATGTGTGCAGAATTAAAATAAAATTGTGCAAAGTGTCGCAAAAAAACCATCTATTCACCCTGGCCTTTCTTTTTACCATACGGGGACAGTGCTTAGCCTGAGCACTCTCGCAATATAAAAAAAATATGTATTAGAAAGTGCTTATAAATTTCAATAACTACAGAGCTAAAGATATTCTAATAATTATAAAATGTAAAAATAAATGTTCAATCACTTAAAACATAATCTTAATAGCACATCTCATTATATCACTAACAAAAGTAAGAAATAATAATATTTTAAAAATGTATCTTAATCTTGATACGTTTATATATTGGTCGTCAATATTTAATGACGCTATTTTTTAGATATAAGTTTTATTTTAATGCATCAATTTTTTATCGTCAATTTATAGAAAAATAAAAAAGCCGAAAAAATTAGCTGCCAATTGCTATTTAAATATAAAAAATACTTTTAGTGTAACAAATTGTAACATAGCATAATACTTTGACATAATTTATAAAAAAACGCAATATTATAATAAAAGCCAGAAACTTATCAATGACGAGGAATTAGTGTGAACACATCACATAATCAGAATGTCTATATATTAGATTTTTATATTTTTTTGGTCATGTAACACAAACAAATTTCTATGTTTTCTTTATTGCTTGAATATCTCATTGAGATGAGATCATGGAGGAATTTGTGTAGGCAATTTCATTTTAGTGGTTATGTAAATAAATTTAAAGTTACTTTGATATGTAACTTATAATCACACATTACTACTAGAAAATATTGTTTTAATGACAAATTGTATATGCAAAAATATATTGCAATACCAAATACACGAACAATGATATATGATATACTTAAATGAAATTGGAATATGAAACAAATAATAAACTGGCCTTTATTACAGTTTGAATTTATAAAACTTTGATATTATTGGTATTTATGGGCGTGGTATGAGTCCCGCTCTTATATCTAATGTCAATTGACAATAAAATGTAACTGCAAATCTATATATATTTTTTAATATAAACAAAGTATTAAATTTATATTTTTTAAGCATTGTTATATTTTAAAAAATAAAGTATGTTTTTCCTCTACGAAAATACATAAAGGAAGCTGTAAGTATAATACTTGAAATCTGCAAATTGTTTATACTAAAAAAATAATTTATATACAGTTAACATTTCAAGGCAAAATTACTTCTGAAATATCTGTATACAATTACCAATTATTTTATTCGCCATAAACAACTCGGTACTTTATTATTCAATCAATAGACATAATATTTTCAATAACCTCATAATTTCGATGCTTTACATTTACATGTCGCAATAACTCACTTCAGGTATCTAGAGTCCAAGCCGACAAATATGCACTGTCATAATCAACACGTAATCTACAAGTACGTAAACACCACCTTACACATAGCCATAACAAAAGTGCCAAACTTAATTTTCCATCAACCAGTTTAAGGAGCTCTACACTGAACAGCTTATCCATTGGGAAGCGATCACTATTCGAAGCTGGAATTGAACATATTAATGTTGAGGTCTTCGAAGGTAGAGGCGCCGCCTTGGTCCAAGATCTGCAGCATTTCGGAGAGCTCGTGTGGTGCGTGCGGCCCCTCCGCCCCGGTGCCACCGGCCGCGCCTGCACCGCCCTGCCACGACCACATACCTGCTGTAACAAAAGTTCAAGTATTTTTTATAAATTTTAAAAGTTGTTTTAACAAAGTGTAAAATTATTAATTTTAATATTATACAACTATTATTTAATATTATTTTGTATAACAAGCAACTTATCCGCCTTCATTCCGCTTCCTTTTGTTTCACCTTATAATAAACATTATTACTAACAGTAGTATGTAACAACATACTATTATTTATATGAGTTTTAGCTGTGGACTTAATTCCATCCAAATCTATCAAACCGTTTCACTGTAGTACTTCGTATATTTACGGTCATTTCTAGTGAACATTACTATAACGATATTAAGACATGTGAGACTAACCACTAGTGCAGAGTAAAAGGAACCTACGTATATTGGTAAGAGCTCTGTTTAATGAGACGCATGCCTGCAGATGTATGGAGGCAGATGAAGCACCCCTAAACAGGTCCTGCAGTATAGTAGTAATTCTTACTCAACAAGCGGCCATCACAATTGACCAATCATGGTCGCAGTGACATTTTACAGCCGCAGCAAGGAAATATAAAAAATAGTTACCATGCGTGGGGTGGGTCGGGTGTGTCGCGGGGTGCGCGGGGTGTGCGGGGTGCGCGGGGTGGGGCGGGTGGTGGTTGTGGTGGTAGTGCGCGGGCGGCAGGTAGGCGGGCGCGGGCGGCGAGCGCGCCGGGCTGGCCGCGCCCTCGCCGCTGTACGCGTAGGCCTCGCCCGCCGCGCCGCCCGCCGCCGCGCCCGCGCTCGTCGCGCTCGCGCCGCTCTGCAACACCAGTTTATTTTGTGAGATATTAATGCACACATCTGTTGTTATTCTTATTAAATACTAGCGGCTCAGCCTCGCTTCGCTCGGGATCGCGAATGATAAACAAGAACAAATCTATCCCACGGGAACCGTACGTTTTTCGGGAAAAACCATTAGAATCCATTGAGTAGTTTTTCGTGAAAGACTGACAGACATCTATAAATAATGAAAATGTATACTTATATATATTTAAAAATATATAGAAAATTGAGCTATATTCCTTGAATATTTATTTACTCAAATAAGGAGCATTGTGGCCTATTATTGTTTAAAGTTTACGTCACTTTATGGTTGATGATTTGACTATTTATTTAGTTGAACGGTAATCAAATCACTCTTTAATATGCGTGTGATTTCAATAAAGATATGTTTTCTTAAAAAAATTATTGCTTTCTCAATTAAGCACATGTCAATATTTTTTAATGTAATGTCTTTTTGATTAAGGAAATTGTTCGCGCATCGCTCGAACGGGAATCCGAGGGACGAAGAGAGGGCAGCGGGGAGAGGGCGGCGTCAAGCTGTCTGCGGGTGCGCCGGCGGGCCACCACTTCGAATACCGGCGGCTACCAATGATCACACACGTCTCGCGTTAACTTATCAGCTATATTTTAATTTACAAATTAATACAGTTATTTTATACAGTCCACTTTCTATCATTTACCAATCTCCAACATAAATAATTATTAAAAAGTGCAAATATATGTGGGAAATTCAAAGTAGTTGAAACGAACGTCATTAATCAGACATATGACGTCAGAGTATATCGTAACAGAGCGATTAGTGATTTAGTCGCTACAAATTGAGTTGTAATTTTTTTGTGTATATCATACTGTGACGACGCGCCAAGCGCACGAAATGGCGAACGTTTAAAGTATCCGTATCGGTATGTTTTTTTTTAAATTTTCTACTACATTTTAGGCTTTTGGAGTCGGATTTTTTTTTTTACAATTATAAAACGATGTTAGGTTTTTGTATATATTTTTTTTAAATCACGCATATTCCCTATTGTGACTAATTGTTACATACCTTTCTTTTAAAACTTACTTTTTTTCACACACACACACAAAATAGCGCCTGAAAGCCACCATATTTATTTTTAATAATATCCACATTTTATGACGCATGCGTTATCAAGAGAAATCTGACGACGTATGATACATACATAATCGCAATTGATTAAGCCGTTTTGGTAATTACGAGAGTACTTAGGATCAGACATACATACATATGTATATACATAAATACATGACAAACACATAACTCATCTTTAGGCTTCGCCACTGTCGGGTAAAAAATAGACTTTATTTTATTGAAGACTAGCGATTGATTCCCTATACAAACTTTCATCCCCATTTTTAACACCTTAAGGGATGATTACCGGGATAAAAAGTATCCTATGTCCTTCCCAGGGTCTCAAACTATCTTCCTACCAAATTTCATCTAAATCGGTTCAGTAGATCCAGAGATTACCCCCTCATTTATTATTACAACCTCACAAACTTTACCTCTTTATAATATTATAGTTCAGACAGTATAGATGAGTGAACATGGGTAAGACACTCACTGGGCGCAGCGTCGTCCAGGTGGTGTGCGGCGGCGTGTTGGCGGGGCGGTGCGGCGAGTAGTCGGGCGCGTAGTGCGGCGCGTGCGCGTAGGCCGGCGCCGCGCCCGCGCCCGCCTCGCCCGGCGACCGCGCGCCCACCCCGCCGCCTGCTGGAGTACAACAACAGTGTGACAAAAAACTTCATATTAAAAAAAATACGTACACTCGGGTAACGAGTATTATTAGAAAGGGCTTTAGCACTTGGGTGAAAATCCAACTATGTGCCAAATCATTATTAATTTTTAAAATTGTGCATTTACGATTTCTATTACTTTACTAAATTTATTAAAAATAAAATAACAACTACATCATATTAAAAATAATGTAACCATAGTATAAATAAATAAATCACGAGCATTCTTGAGCACATAAAACTTTCGTTCATACTTAGGCCACCATGCTATATGAAAGAGACATTAATGTTAAATTTAATTACATTTTTATTCAGTTTCTCTTGTTGCAATATGAATTCATGAAATATTTACATATTATCTGTTGCATGTTGAGTTTGTATCTATAACTTTGAAAAAAAAATTAGTGAATGTGTGAGTATGCAACCAGTCTACTATTACAAATCCGAAAGTTTGTATGTGTGTATGTTTGTTACTTCTTCACGTTCAACAGACTATAAATGTTAGACCGATATTGATAAAATCACACAGAGATAGACGAGATAAACTGAAGTACGATATAGACTAATAGGCACGTATGGTGACACTCGCTAGTCTGGCGGCAGTAGGCACGTACCAGGCGGCGCGTGGTGCTGCTGGTGCAGGGCGGGCGGCTGCGCCTGGTACACGTCGCGCTGGCGCAGGTGGTAGTCGTAGCTGTCCTCGGCCACCGGCTCCCCGCCGCTGCCGCCCAGCGTCCGGCTGCACAAGTGAACAGTGTTCATAAAATACTTTTTGTATTCAGTCCTTTATAATGTCCCACTGCTGGGCATGGGAGGCACGAGAGACAGAGAAAAATTCTAAAAACTATAGATTCGGCCTCTGTATCGATAATAATGTTAATTTCAATAAGATTTTCTAAAAAATATCTAATGTACAGATTCGGCTTAGTTACAATTTTATTTTATTTATAGGCTAGCATTAGTTAAATATATAAATCTATATTTTTTTTTCATATTACTTATATACATAAGTATTATATAAATGTTGACATGATTACTAAGATTTTTGATAAGTTTTTCTGTTCTTTGCACAGTGCAAGGGAGAAAGAAATAACACTTTCAATTAGTTTCTAACGAAAAGGAGAAAAATAATTTTGGTACTGAGAATAAATTTTTTATAAATATTAATCATACAAAAATTAAATAATACATAAAATAGATAGGACAATAAATATTTAAAGTACTTACTTTGCCAATGTGTTTGTGCATACAATGTATTCTACATCGTCATTGTATGGGTTTTAAGAACGCAAAGGCGGACGTTTCGTAACCAGACCCACTCTCTACTTTTCGTGCGAAATCGGTACATAAGTGATATAATCTGACCCTTCAATTTTAAAACTGAAACAAAATATTTGTCTTTTAACATTTCAATAGTTTAATTTAATAAACGAAGTAAAACTAACATTTACATATTAGAGGTGTATTTGTAGAAAAATAAAATAATATAAATACAAACACAACAACTTATATCTATTACAGTACAATTATAAGTAAAAATAAGTAGTATTACAGTGTCTTTAAAAGAACTTTAAAAAGGTAAATATTAACTAGAAAAATAATATGAGCTTATCGTTCCATTGAAAAGATAACTAAATGAGTTAATAGTTTACTTAAAGTAATTAAACTTTTAAAATTTCCAACTTCAATTAAACTAATCATGATTTTTGACAGAGCACATTTTTATAGGAATAAGAAAATAGCCTATAGCACTCGGCGGCAATATACCTCCTATTAGCAAAAGAATTTTCAGAATCGGAGTAGTTTCATAGTTTCAAATATCAGTTTTCACGTTGCCAACATACAAACTTTAGCTCTTTATAATATTAGTGAACATAGAATTTACTGAAAGTAAACGAGTGCGTACCTTGGTCGAAATTGTCCCTCATGTGCTGCTGGTCCTCCGGGTGGTAGAACTCGTAGCAGAGCTTGCCGAGCAGGTCGGCGGGCGCGTAGCCCAGCACCTGCGCGGCGCGCTGGTCCGCGAACGTGAAGCGCCCGTCCGCCGAGTGCCGCGACACGAACTCCGCGCCGCCGCCGCACGCGCCGCCCTCCGCGCTGTTCGGCGTCGACGTCACCTGATATATTCATACGATCACTAACGATGTAATCAAATCTTAGAAGTCACTTTTAACCTACTTCTAATTGTCGTGTCGAAATAAAACTTTGTATTTATATGTATGTAGTTTCGATAACGATACGGTTTGTTTATAGAGCCAAGAGGTAGGTAGTGGAACTCCTCAATGGGTAGCCATTAAACAACTGTACCCGAAACGCCTCGTCCTCGGACTCATTAGATTCATTTTGACGACTGGGACTCGTACATTTCATTTACTCAAAAGAGTTTTTTTTTTAGATTTTTAAACCAATAATTATTTAATAAAGATCGTTCAATTTCTAAGTATTAAAGTTATCAAAAAATCTTTGAAATAAATAGACTTCTAAATAAGTATAAGGAAGATAACAAAAAATTAACCTGCAATCTTCCAATAGCGACGAGGCAACAGTGAGACGCGTGAAGTTCATCCTCGACCGGACGATCCATCTGCATACCTGGAAACAGATCTGATTTCCCAAAACACATAAAATTACGTATTTCATGGTGAGAAAAAATGTCTACATTTTTTCTCCTAACATAGAACCGATCGTCTATTTCTTACCATTACGGATAGACAGCGCCGCTGTATACATCGGTGTACTGATGTGATAGATAGTACGGAATGATACTGAGGATGCGTATCAGACTGTAAAGTGACACAAACCTGTGGGCGGCCAGTTCTTGATGTAGCCGGTGCAGTGCACGACGGCGTAGTTGTGTCCGTCGTGCGAGGGCCCGAGCGAGTTGCGCGCGCGCAGGCGGCCCAGGTGCGCGCTCTCCGCCGCGCCGCCCACGCGCATGCGGCAGATGAACCCGCGCCGCGACCCCATCACTTGGCGCATGGACGCTGCCAAATATATCATTCAATTATAGGGTAATGTATAAACTATATCACGGGAAATTAAAAAAAACATCCGCTCATAAGTTTTTGCGTGAAAAAGCTTAACTCTTGATCGATTTAGACCACAGTGGCCAATCTCACTGAGACTAGCCAACTGTACAGGAAATATTATAGTGAACAAGTGTACGCGCACACTGGTGTGTGCGCATGTACTGTGACATGAGTGAGTGCCCGTGAGTGCCCGGGCACAAGACCGAAGGCTTCACGTGCTCTCTGAGGCACGAAGGTGAAATACAGCCAGCTTTTCAACTCCGTGCAGTTAATATAACTTTCTTAACAGAAAAACTCCATAACGAAAATTAGTCCAGTCCGGGACTCGAAACTAGGACCCCCGAATGAGCAGTGGTACTTGCAGGCCACTACACCACAGAAGCAACAAACATACATACATACTCACAAACTTTCGCGTTATTAATATTAGGATTCATGCAGATTTAAAAAAATCATGAATACTGTTACCGTTTTAACCTGCTACCGTAAGGTAACAAGACCCCTGCAAAAGCGTTTACCGTTAAAACACTAGGGAATATGCGTGTGATTTAAATAAAAGTGTTTTTTTTTTTTTATAATCGTTGTTGCATTTAAATTAAGCCTACATTAATATTTTTATTGTAATTTCATTTTGATTAAGAAAATAATTATGTAAAAGTGCAAATATATTTGGCAAATTCAAATTAGTTGAAACGAACGCCATTGGTCAGACCGAATATCGCTTAAATTGAGTCGTTATTTTTCTGCGTATAACGTACTGTGACGTTGTGCCAAGCGCGAGAAATGGCGAGCCTTTAAAGTATCCATATCGGTATGATTTTTTTTATAGAATTTTAGTTTTTTTGGAGCTGGATATTTTTTTTTAATTATATAACGATGTAAGCTATTGTATAAAACAAATCACGCGTATTCCCTATTGCTCCAACTGAAAATCGAGCCAGCATTTGTGTGTAGATAATTCGACCACCACACTTGATGTTGGCCTAATGAGGCCAAATAATGTGTGGTTCGGAGTAAGTTCAATAAAAAATAAAGCCGTTCTTACATTGATGACCTTCTTTCTTTACAGTTCCCGTCTTCAAGTCCAAAATACGACCAGTATTTTGAGGTTCTTGAGTGCTCAACTGTTCCCTAACTTTTTCAACATCATCTGGATGAACTTGATCATATAAACAGGATGAATACCATTCACCCTAAAATTAAAAAAAATAATTAATATGTACAAAATAACTTTTATAAAAAAAAAACATAAGTAAAATAATACATGCCTGGGAGTAGTTCAGAACTGGTGCTATACTATCGCTGACATAAATTATGCGACCAGTATCGCAACTGACGACGAATAAAAATCCGTCAGCCGCCTCAAGAATTAGATGTTTCAATTCTTGATCGGTTAAAAATGAAGGTTTATATGTGCCATCGGTTGATGTATTGCCAGTACCTGTAATAAAATAACACTGGATAATAATAAATAAGGAACTGGGGTGGCAAGAGTAAACGCAAAATAGGCGCATAGTCGTCGAGTTGCGGAAAACAGCCCGAACATAACATACCATACCATATGATACATAACAACACTGGATAACTTGTAATACTTAGATACTATAATAGTAGAGTATAAAATGCATTATTATTATTTTTACCTCTCAGAGCTTTCATATGGGCCACTGCCATACGCAGTATAGTTAGTTTGTCGGGTTTTCGCGCGAGGGCGGAACATGTTGGAACCATGTCTGATAGTTCCGTGATATATGCTGTCATCTTGTTTCTGCGGCGACGCTCGATCTCACAATGGTTCTCGCGGCTTAAATAACAAATTGATGCTGATTAGCAGAATATAATTTATATTAGAGGATTTTATAATTTTGAATCATCTATTATTAAAATATACTTTTCTAGTTGCTAGATTTATTATAGTTCTTGGTTCAAGTTTAATGCAGTTCGTTGGTTTTCTGTAGTCCGAAATTGGGAAGTTGGTGGTGTTACATCCCTGTGCCTTGAAAGACTCAAAGTCATCGATCGAATAATCGTTCCATTGAATTTTGAGAGTGAAAGAAATAGAGAATGCACTCTTGTTTGCGCGCATAGTTATACATTAAAATATTTCCTGAGCACATGGCTAGTCTAGGCAAAATCGGGCAGGAAGATATGTATATTCGCTATCCCCACTTTAATTATCATGTGGCCATATTCATAAGATTTATTAAAACTACTAAATCTATTCTATTGGCGCTAAGCAGATTCCTCATTGGAAAGTCGCAAGAACTAATTTAGTGCCTATAAAATCCGTCACTATAAAAGTTTTAAAACAAAAATTTAAGTTAATACTTTTGGAAACACTAGAGAATCTAATTTCCAACGATAGAGTTCAATTTTTGCTTTCAATTTGTCGATAAAATTTAATAAACTGACAAATATTGCGAAACAAATGACCATAAAATTAACATATCTTGAGAAGCATCTTATTTTATGTTAATAAATATAAGTAATATTACGGTTAGCGTATTTCGTGATAGGTCACGTTTCCCATCACAATATATCATCTAATGTAAGTAAATTGATGTCATTGCTATGAAAATGACAATTTTACATAAATGGAGATAATTATTATTGGCAGGCTATTGTTTATATTTTAATACAATATGAGTGTGGGAAATGTTTAGTGCTTTGGATGGCTCTTTTAAAAATATAGCTAAAGTTACCTATTCATTTTCCATTTAGTACATATATTAGATGCGATGTGAATGAAGAATTATTATCACCTATCTGTTCCCAATTAGTAAAGTACGTGCTTAACATGTCCAAAAAAATCATACACCTAATCCGAATACTTTATCCTTTTACCTTCAAGCCAAGAATAAAACACTTTGTCTATCTGTCTCGGATGGGGAGGGATGACCAACTTGGTAAAAATTACTGGTAAGCGGCCTAACTCGTTCAGCACCGAGAGACGTATCATGAAGGTTGCTCCAGATACTTCTCTGACTGCAGAGCAACCTAACCTAATGGTTTTGTTTGCGGACAGTAAGGAAGACAACTTCATTGAACACGAACACGTATTGACGACATATTTGGCTTAGTTTGTTGTGACCATACTTGCTGTGCCAGCGGTCGCCGGTTCGAGTCCCGCTGGGGGCATTCATTTGTGTGAATAAAGTTGTACTCCAGTCATGGATGTTTATATTTGTATGTTAGTATTTAAAGTTATATATGTATAGTGCTTCAACTATCTGGTATCCATATCACAAGCCTCGACGCTTACCATGGAACTAGATGGCGCTGTGCGTTGTCCCAACCAACATATTTATTATAATACTTTCTTAGATTTACGCGAATGTTTGACATTATTAAATAAAACTATCTTTTCGGATTATTTCGCGGATTTATTTAGATTTTTGGTTCCCGACGTTTCGAATGCTTTACAGCATCCATGGTCACAGGAGATACTGAGGTGTTACATGTCTTAAAGATATAGTTGTTACAGACAGCCTACCCACAAGTCAGTCTTTCCCGTGACCATGGATGCTGTAAAGCATTCGAAACGTTGGGAACCAAAAATCAAAATAAATCCGCGAAATAATCCGAAAAGATAGTTTTATTTAATAACATATTTATTATATTATTATTTATTATTAAAAACAACTTTATTATTCAATCATATCAATTAGTCAACTGCCTCGATGGTGTAGTGACTAGCATGTACGGCTGCACACCCGGAGGTCCTGGGTTCGAGTCCTGTCTGCGCGTACACTTGTGCACTATAATATCTCCTGCGCAGTTGGGTAGTCTCATTGAGATTGGCCGCTGTGGCCAGAATCGGTCAGGAGAACATCATTTATTAAAAACATTATCCCTATTCGGACCAGACCATGCATAGTTAGGAGACAGTTCACTTTATCACCCGAGTTATAAAGTTTGCTCGTGATTATTCAACCATACAAAAATGACCTTGCAGCACTTCTTTCAAGCGAGGAAGATTTTCTTCCAGATTCTAGAGAAAAGTACAAGCTTTTCATAGATGAAATTGACTAGAGTAAATGATACAACATTTCACTTGTATAGAGGCATAAAATGTCTAAGATGTAACAGAAAATAACTTTACAGATCCTAGGTGTTTCATTTGTATATCTATCTAATGATGTATCACTTGATAAATTACAAAGAGATTTATTTTTGCATAGATAATACTCTGAATTAAACGGTTTTTTCTTTTGGTTGTAAGATTCCTTACTAGATACTTGAGCTTCTTATCCTGCACCCCAGATATATTATATGGCAGAGAATATTTGCAGGCTTTTATATGCATATGAATAAATTACATATTTTTATTTTAAATATGTATATAAAAATCAATTGTGTTCGTTAGTCTTACTAAAACTCAAAAACGGCAGGACCGATTTGAATAATTATTTTTTTTATTGGGAATGTGTCAGGGGTGGTTTAAGTTTAAAAAAAATAAAGAAAACCCAAAAAAACAGCTGGAAAATCTAAAAGTTCAGGCCTGTTTATTTGGTATCTATGTATTATATATATAGTCTATCTATTCCAAACTAACCATTAAAACACACCTACAGATGAACCCTAACCAAACCTAGAGCAAAGCGAGGGTGAGTCGCTAGTACCAAAAAAATTTAATAACTGACCATTAAACAAATAGAAAAGTACAATTAAGGATTTAATATTAATATTTAGTTAGTTCTTATTGTTATATTAATCAAGCTAAAAGAGGTAAAACATATTTTTATAAACACTATGAAAATTAATATAAATGATGAAACATATATTTTTATTAAGTACACATGTTCTACATGTGTGTTGTGATGGTAACAGTTTCATTATCTTACTAGCGACTTAGGCTCGCTTCTCTCGGGTGCATCCCTAGTACATACATATAAGTAGCATAAACAATTTCATATGAATTTAGTAAATAGCTGTTATCTTAACAATACAAACAGCCACTTCAACTTTATTTATCTGTACTGATGAGTAGATATTACCTTGCAAATCTCTCCTTGTCTTGAATATTATCCTCCTCCATCCTTGTGTATTTCCCACCACTTGCGTCGTCTTCATCGGATCTTTATAGAAATGTAAATAATGTTTTTTTTATAAAATTATAATATGTGATGGAACAATGATGAAATTAAAAATATGTTTACAATTAGGTAAGTACAATTTACCATTACCAATTAGAAATAAAAATGAATGCTATTGCCAATATATACTGCCTTACCCAATACTACCAGCTCGACGCTTTTGTATGTCCTTGGTTGGGTCAGCCCCTAAAATATAAAATATTTATTTGCATTGATTTTATATTAATTTACACACATTTAATTCGCAAATTTTGAATTCTAGATTCCTCAATGATATTATACAAAAAAGAAAAATAAAATTGTCAAAAAAACATATTTGTCACCAATGAATGTAAGCAATTACAAAACTTGAAAAAATTGTTAAATTAAAGGCACTTTTTAATGTTTATGCACAATTATTTCTTAAATTCTTAATATTCGATTTTCACATCTCATTTTCACTGTGCTTGTTTAAGAGCAAATACGAAATTAGCAATTGTAAATCGTACTTTAGTGTATATATTTATTTTTAATAAAGTTAACATTTTTAGTTTAATGAACTACACATACTGATAAGTTACTACTTTTAATAGCGATGTTAATGTGTCCAAGTTAAATTTCGCTAACAACGCGTCACGCGGAGCAACGCAAGAGCAACGTCAATAGAAAATAGGTCGGTAATTCCATCAATCTGTTACTTACATAACAAATATTATCTTTTGATTAATTTACAAATGAAGGTCTTAGTCGATAAATAAAACATCATTTATACCAATTTAAAAACCTTGGAACAAATAATCGGCAACAAGTAAAATATCACCAACCGGGGATAGTGGGAGCCACGGCAGACATCGGTCAACAAACTCATTAGTCCACGATTTTTTAACCTAGGTTATAATAAAATTTAACACAAATTTTTTAGTAAAAGTAACTGTTGTACAAATAAAACACAATGTATGTTTATCGTAATTATTCAACACAACACAAGCGCCATTTTTCATTATTAGATGACATGACATTGCCTTGCCAACCACAGAATCTTAAAAACTTGCCAGTATATGCGCGTATTTTGTACTTACCATATTAAATATTATTCCATATTAAAAGTAATCAAAATAATAATAAATATTTGATAAAAACAAATTAGTATAAGATATTTGTAATACTATTCTACAGTTCTGCAAACAACTTACATTATATAAAAATTGGTAAGTGGTAGGCTTACCATGATTTATTGTACTTGAATTTGAATATATAATTATTATTACATTCTTTTTATATTCAAAACTTTGTTACTGGTTATTGAGTTCCTATATATTATTTAAATTTTTTGACAAATAATGGTTCACAGAAATTATAAATAAACTACACAATCCATACTACTTCTTTTTTATCAATTCAAAATTATGATTATCACGTTAATTGTCTGATAAGTATTCTATTCTATAATTCTTTAAGTAATTATGGATGGAGAATCAGAAATTTTATCTGACACAGCTACAAATTGTAATTTAGCATCTACCTCAGAAACTTTATCAGATAACTATCAAGCCAAGTTAGATTCTTTAGAAAAAAAAGCCGTTCATTTAAGGTAATTTTTGTATAGGTACTTCAAAATTAAATGAATGTATTTTGTATGGCAAATTATTATATACCCATATGCCTACAGATTAGTTTTGGAAAGAGATTTTAAGGCAGCCGATATTAAATGGAGTCTGTTCGTAGCAGCTGCTTTTAGCTTCAGATATGAGAGCTGTCTTAAACCGTTTCCGCCAGTTTTTATGAAAAATGGTATTAAAGACATGGACGAATTAGTACGTAATGACTTAACTAATAATATATTAAATATGCTTAAGTTAATTTTTTTTAACGTTTAAGTTCTAAATAATTTCAGCTAAGGGTCATTACTGATGTACCTGCATTGGATTTGGTTCTACAGCAATTGGATAATCTTGATAATCTAGTAAATATAGGCGACATTATAGACTTATTATTTTATGTACTTGTCAGATTAAAAGAACCCAATTTAAAAACTGTGCCACAAGAAGCAGTGAGTTTAATTCTTATTCTAATACAAATATCTGTAACCAATAGTAAAATTAATATAAGTAATCCGTTATATAGCATGAAGCAATTTTAATTAATGCGCATTCATTGCTGCCAGCACCAAAACCACAATACGTTTTTCAAGTCATTAGCTCTAATAAATCTAATGCAGAATTAAAGTGGAGGGAATTATCGAAAGATCATAAAGTGTTCTATGCCTATCATGGAAACCGATTGGAAAATTTCTACGCAATGATCAATTTTGGCGTGCAACAACATTTGAACAAGGTATCCCTAATTGTAATTAGAGTGTGACATGTAAATAGATAAATGTTATTTATTATTATAATTTTTGGTTTATTTGTTATTTTCCATTATTTCATAAAATCCCTTCTGCCGTGATATTCGAGAACATTTGGATTCATCGAATGACACGTATTCTTCAAGCGATGAGGACTACTGAATCCGTTTTTTTAAATTAAGTATACTGTCTCAAATTCTAATTGCGTACATTGTTGTATAACAAACCAAACTATGAAAAAAACTAATTAGAATAATTTATCAAAATATTTAAACTTTTTTCTTCAAAATGAATATATAATTTCGTAGGTAGACCGCCTGTAATCTATACATATAATAAAATTGTAACTAAGCCGAATCTGTACATTGAATATTTTTTGGAAAATCTTATTGAAATAGACATTATTATCGATACAAAGGCCGAATCTATAGTTTTTAGAATTTTTGTCTGTCTGTCTGTTACCGCATTACAGAAGAACCACTGGATTGGGATTTTGATGAAATTTGGTATGGTGATAGCTGGTTAACTGGGTCAATATATAGGATACTTTTTAGGCAATGCTAGTAAGTACATAAAAAATTTTGAGACTATATAAAGATTTAGTCTCTCCCGCCAACGGAATTGCTGTAAATGCATTTCGAATTTCGAACATGATTTCGAATACTTTACTGTAAAGCATTCTAAACGTCGAGAACCAAAAATCAAAATAAATCCCCGAAAAAAATCGAAAAACTCTTTTCTTCCGAAAGAAGATTTATTTAAAACAACACAGTGATCAAAAATTCTTAATTTTATGAATAAAAGTATCAAATTTATTTTATTGATTCTATTTGTTATTCTTTATATACTATATTTTAATTTATCTAATTCCTTTTTATTTATAAAGACGACACTTACGGGAAACGGGGTATGTCTTTCCCCGGAATTAAGTATCAGTTTGCCACTCAGTCATGGCGGGTTTGGGTGGGGAGCTAGTTGTATTGGAGGTCACCTCTCATGTGTAGCAATGTGCGAAGTTATCGATGCACCCGAAGGCATAAACTATCAAAAACCCATCACGAACGAAGGTATGAATTATTTCATCTATTTCAAACAAAACTTGAGAAATGCAACAAGTATATCGTTTTAAATTCAGCAGCAACATGAAAGAGATTAGATATCCGACTATAATAAATAATAAAAATAAAAAAATAAAAATAAAAATCTATAACATGACGTCCACTCCCTCTTTAGGGTTGAACCAACTTTTAATTTTATTTTTCTGTTTTTCTTATTATTTGATTCTATATCACAAATATTTAAGAATTTAATTATTTATTTATTGGACATTTATATGTCTAAGTTTTCATTATATCATATATAAAGTCTCCATTATAGTCGTTAATATCCTTGACATTTTATTTTGAAAGGTGACGGTGTCTACAAAGAAGATGAATCGAAAATTTTATCTGAACAAGGTTTAGGCAGTAGAGCTGTACATTATATAGTTACAAACTCAGATCTGATACGCCTACGTTACTTGCTCGTATACGCTAAACAACCTGCTTCCATGAGATTTCCTACTACAAGTGCTGCAAGAGAAGGTTAACAACTAATTTTATAAAAATAGTAGGGCTATGGCCAAGTCGCGGAACTAAATTAAAATTAAGCCCAACGGAAGTCTACAGGCGGAAGTCATTGGTACTGTTGCGGTTACTATGTAGTAGGTACAGGAAATTAATTGTTAGCTTTAGAATGAAACAAGAACAGGAAAATCTAATCCCACCAATGTTTTATGTTTATTACTATATCAATTAGCAGAATATATGTTCATTATTCATCTTGATTAAGAAATATTTATTCGAACTGTTCATCTTAAGTAAGATTGCACCTTACAGCTGGAGGTGTTCGACAATGGCTTGCTAGATATAAATTATTTTCGATACTTCTCGGCTATGGACTAATGCTGGCGACAATTGGATTTGCAAACAACCAACCTATAAACTATTATTATAAAATTTTATTTAAAAAATTGGAGATGGCCTTAGGCAATGCAAAAGTGTAATGTTTTGTTATATTTGTTGATAATTTTTTGTTGTTAGAAATATATAACAGTAAAAATCATGAGTTCTGCATGTTTATTTTAATAATATTTTATAGTTTATTTCTAAGACTTGTATAGAAGGATAGTAAAGTAAGAGGAAATGAAGAATAAACTTCAACATCTTATGTACTTATCGATAAACATCTGTTCTACACCCTACTATAAATTTAATATTATACAACATAATATAAATTTAAAGGTTAAAATTAAAATTTAATTAAAGTTTAAATTAAAAATTAAAAAATTGTAAAGCGGTATGCACTGCTTTACGGACTTCTGGAGGTGCAAATCCTGCTAGTGGGGACAACAGTGGTATCAGGGTCGGTTCATAGTAACTAGTGCTGAAATCTATGTTAGTTTTGCATATGATGAATGACATTACAAGACGCACCAGCAGCCAAGGGCCAGTCCAAGAGAGTGCATAACATAAAGCGATGAGTAATCCGCACTTACAATTAGGTCAATCGGAAATGAGAAGTTGACGTAGGAGATGATTTCGAGTAGGCATTTTATGTTCTCGCAGGAGGAGTTTCATGAATTTTTATAAGGGAACTAACCACTTACCCTTGCTTCGCTCGGAGGCATCTCTAGGTGTGAATAATTCCGTAATACATTGTTTTTATAATAGTAGGGGAGCCCAAGAGGGGATTTTCTGTAGTTACTCGAGCGCGGCAGATTAACATAAAAGAGGTTACCTTGCACTCTATTGAGAACTTTCACCACAATATAAGTCTTCTATATAAAGGGGCGCGTCTAGGGAAGCCGATTAAAATATTTAAAAAATGTTTTGATAAGGTAAAAATACTTGAAACCGTCAGATTAAGGTGTGGTAGGCTAGTCACATCCTGAAAAGTGTCCAATTTAATAATCTGCCGATTTGCTCAAGCCTAAGAGGCAAAAATCATCATAAACTTTATAGTCGATTTTTGCCTCTTCGGCTTGTGCAAATCGGCAGATTATTGAATTGGACACTTTTCAGGATGTGACTAGCCTACCACACCTTAATCTGACGGTTTCAAGTATTTCTACCTTATCAAAACATTTTTTAAATATTTTAATCGGCTTCCCTAGACGCGCCCCTTTATATAGAAAACTTATATTATGGTGAAAGTACTCAATAAAGTGCAAGGTAACCTCTTTTATGTTAATCTGCCGCGCTCGAGTAACTACAGAAAATCCCCTCTTGGGCTCCCCTACTATAATAACTTCATTGGAAATTTTAATGAAACGTAAATTCGAATCTTGAGTCATTTTTAAGGGTCTTCGATTTACGCGCTGGAACCCTAAATATTTCAGGAATAAAACATACCCTATAATATGTAGCCCTAAAATAAGTAGAATACATGAAACAAAAATCTCGCGTCTGCCACTGCCCCCGTGGTCCCGCTGTCGTCGCACTCGCGTTGTTAAGATATTATTACGTTTCGCGAGTTATTTTATTTCTGTGATATCTTCGAAGATATTCATTTAATTTAAATGTTGTAAAGGTCAGTTTGATTTAAATTAAGTCATTTTAAATATCTGTGCAACAAAAAAATAATGTAATTGTATGATTGTATGATAAACGTTCAAATTGTATGATAAACGTGATGTGGCAATGCTTTCAACATGTCATGGTAAGGTATGGCCTTGAGTGGTGGAAGAAATCCAAATTGAAATCTCATAAATGGTACTTTACTACAATAAAGGAAACAAAGAATAGATTTGGCGGACCAACTCGCTAGCCAACCATAGCCTAATCAGAAAAACTGTAATTTGGTATAATAAAATCAGTTGATTTATTATCCATTTCCATCGTGAATAATTATTTATACAATACAATAATTTTTTTAAAGATCAAAATAAATCCGAAAAATAATCCGAAAAGAAAGTTTTATTTAAATGTTTTTTTTTTTTACTTTTAGTATTTTGTTAAAACTTATGGTTAAATAATAAAATATTGTTCCAATTCTGATATTTTCATCTCATACTCATAATATGTAACTTTTTTCTATTAATAAGTCCAAAAATAGTACAACTTACAAGTCCGTACCTAAAAACAATCGAAATTGTATGCACCTCATGATCATGATGAAAGTGTTCTGTATAAAAGTTATAGATTTTTAGTAGACCTACAACTTTTGTCGAAAATATTTTACGATAGAACGTCACAGTACGCCGGAAATTGAAAAAAAATGTTTTTTGTCATCGCCTGCTTCCCCCCATTTCTCTGGGGTAGCTAGGCATCGGGGGTATTTTACAAATTTCTATTCCATAAATACCTACTAACATTTTAAAATCATAAAACTTCAGATTTTTTTATATTTTGTTCCCAAACCGGATTCCGATTGGACTATTATGAGGCTGATGTAGTTGAGCATTTTATAAATCTGTCTATTTTTCTAATAGGTAAGTATCTATATCCATTTTTGAAAGTTCATCAAGTAGGTATAGCGTCCATAGCGCGATGATGGTTATCTAATTACGAAAGGATGTTGGGTGTTTTAGAACAATATATTTGCCGTCACATTGCGCTCGTCATGCGCTAAAGTGTAATCATTGTCCGGCCAGTTTTTATTGTGAAGGATGTCTAACCAGACATATTGACCATACAGTAGTTTCGACTTTAGCATGTGTCGAATGTTAATAAAAAAAATACAAAAAACTTATTAAATATACCTAGTAATCATAAAAAATATTATTAAAGATATTATATCATTTACTATGGACTTAATACAAGTATGGATATTTGTTTCATTTTTAACTTGTGTAACCTGTCAGGATCCTGTTGCGAATTTACCTCAAGGTCGGGTTGTAGGGGTAAGAAAATTTTGTTTTATTTTTTAATATATTAAAAATGATATCCTGATATACATTAAATTTCAGATAAAAGTGTTTACTGAGAATTCATTTACACCCATTGAAGCATTTTTTGGAATACCATACGCAGCACCGCCAATTGGCAGATTAAGATTTTCTGTAAGTAATTTTATTAGGTACTTAATTATTTAAAAAGTATATTGGAAAAATATGTTCTTTTCTGCGTAATGTTTTTTAAATTGTTATTATTATCAGCCACCGGAAAGGCATACAGGTTGGAGGAGGACATTATTTGCTCATCGTATGCATCCACGTTGTCCCGATTCTGGCAATAATACTGATGTCAGCGAAGATTGTCTTTATCTTAATATATGGGCCCCACGGGTTAAGTACTGTGGCATTATTGAATAATTAACAGCGCATCTAATTTGATATAATAACAAGTTTTCTCTTTCTAGGTAGAGAGTAGAGGGTAAACAAATGCCAGTAGTAATTGTACTGTATAGTGAGTCTTGGATACAAAACGGTGTTAATTTGCCTTGCCAAGAACTAGCTGCGGGCGGTCTAGTAGTTGTAACTGTAGCTTATAGACTTCATATTTTAGCGTTTTTTACTCTTAAATCTATTACCGCGCGAGGTAATCTTGCACTATTAGATCAGTATATGGCTTTGATATGGATACGTGAAAATATTGCAGCCTTTGGAGGTAATCCTAATTCTATAACTTTGATGGGTCACTCTGCTGGTGCGGATAGTGTCCTTCTTCACATTGTATCACCAAGATCAATAGGTAAGTCATGAGCAAAATATAAATAAATACGCACAGATGGTACGAGTATAATACTATTCTACTGTAGATGCCCTATCCCTTATAAAGAAATTGGATAGCGTTAATTTGGGCAATTATTCGGGCTATTTTTATTTTGCTTGACTAGATAATAGATGTCGTTGATACGCACGAAATATTTTATTTAATAATTATTTATAAACTTAAATATGTTAACTGTTGCAAAGTTAATCTTGCACTTTATTAAAAAAAATAGATTTTTCAATAATCAGAAAAGTTACACAAATTTGTTTGTTACCATTAGCTCCGCACCTGTGCAATACTTTTAAATACATAATTTAAAACTTTAAAATAAATAAAAATTATCACATTAAGGTTTATTTCATCGTGCTATAATAATGTCTCCTCAAAATGTTTGGAAGGCAATCGAGAAAAGTATTCCTCAGAATAATTCTCTACCTGAAACGTTGTCTCGAAAAATAATACATTCTTTAGGATGCTCGAACAGCAACGACAACGAAATACTTCAATGTTTGAAAATTAGATCACTAACGGATCTAATGGCTTTATACAAGGTATATTAATTCTCTTTAAGAAAACTCATATTGTACGTAAGTATAATGGAAACAAAAGATTTAATTATAATGTTTGATTTGAGGTCGATTGGACGAATGCACTTCAACCCAACCCTGATTATTATCTACCCGAATCAGAACAATATTCACCAAGAACACTATCAGCAGCGTTAGCTTCAACAAAATCTTCAATTGAAGTTGATGTTCTTTTAGGAACAGTAGATTTAGAAGCAATAAATTATGGTAACAAATTGATTTCGTTATATTTTTAAATAGTTCATAATACCTATTACCTATATAAATATAAATGAATAAAATATTAAGCAACCTGTATTTTGTTACAGAATACAAATATGAGGATTTCCTGAAAGAAGATAGTAATCACGTATTCGATTACGCAATTTCTACTCTTATTCCAAATCTTCTTAGTTTGTTATCTTTAGATCGATCGGAAAATTCAGCACTTGTAAATATTTTATTAAAGTTTTTAAAACTATTAAACCTTAAGTAAACTGGTGATTTATGGGGCATGTCTGTTAAATTACTCAACTCAATAATAACATACATTGCGCCGCGTCTATCCTTTATTTTCAATAAATGTGTAGACTTTGGGACGTTCCCTCATCTTATGAAATGTAGTAAGCTTTTTAAAAATGGTGACAAAAATTATCCTGGTAATTATATACCTATTCCTATTCTAAATTGCCGTCTATGAGCTAAAAGCATGTTCCAAAGTGAACAGTGGTTTTATTAAAGACAGATCTACAGCCGATGCGGCAATTGTACTTCTTAAAAACATTTATAACGCTTCGGAAAAATCACAAAATGCAATTGGGGTCCTTGTGATTTATCTAAGGCCTTTGATTGAAACCACTTTGCTTAAACTAAGTCATTATGATGTTCGTGGTGTCGCTCTTGATTTATTGCTTTCAAAAAGTCGCTGTAAATAACATTAATTCTTCTGGATTCTCTTTTAAAAATGGGTATTCCACATGGATCTATTTTGGGCCCATTTTTATTTCTAGTTTATATGAATGATCTTCCTTTCAAACAGACCGTTTGACTCTTTAATTTTTGAAGTTGATAATATAACTAATTAAGATGAAGTAAACTGTGCATTATCACATATATATTTCAGTGGTTTCACATTAATAACCTAGCATTAAACACGAAGAAAACTAAATGTATTAATTTACAACATAATAAATATTAGAAATAAGGACAAAGTACAAACTAATAACGCCGAGATTTCGTTTTACAAAAAGTGAATAAACCTTTCATATATTACTAGCAGAACCCGCGGCTTCGCTCGCGCTAAAACTACGAAAAAATCTCTAAATAGGTAGTTCCATACAAACTTTCATCCCCTATTTTACTTCCTTATAGGAATAATTTCAAAAATGCTAAAATACTTACCTATTTATTTAATTTTATTGAAGAGCATTAGTACCAAGTTACTAGTAGGTAATTCTGATCATTTTTTTTTGGACTGTATTATATTATATTTTTTGGATTGGATTTTTCCGTGGGAATTAGATATTCTTCATATGTCACTCTCCAGTCCTCCAACTATCTCCGCACAAAAAATCATGCCAATCCGTCCCTCCGTTTCGAAGTGAAAGAAGGACAAACAAACACACTTTCACATTTATAATATTAATATGGATTGAGCAAAGCATTATATTATTCCGTCCCGGAATACTTTGCAGATGCAAATGTGTGGGATTATTATTAGTTGATACTCACGCATATTTTGTAAATTAATATTTTATTTAAAAAAAAGCAACTGTTGAGTTTCTCGCCGGCTCTTCTCAGCAGAACTGCCTTCAGAGCCGGTGGTAGATTCTTCACGGACTTACATACTGACATTTAATTTTTTAAAGTCTAAAATTGACCATTCAAAAGTGCTCGTAAAAGTCTATTTGAATAAAGTATATTTTGATTGCTTGATTGATTGATTTATTTAACATACTTTTCGTATTCGTTAGCATTTTTATGTACCTAAATCCTAGCTTTTACTAGCATCCGCGTGGATGATTTGAATAGTTCCAAATGCCAGCTACTGTCATTAAAGTAGGGTCACCGTATCTTGAAGATTAATCATAATGGTAAAACGTACATATATATAACAAAGAAATATTCTAAACAATTGATATTTCTAAAGAAAACGTTAATCAAACTAATATTCATGCTTAGGTACATACAACTTAAAATTTATTTTTTATTTATTTATTAAGATTCACCAGTGGTAATTACATTATTACAGTACAAAATTATGCTATTTTACAAAGTCCTTATTGCTAAATGCATTACCTTTTAAGGTGAATACCGCATGCAAAAATAGGCGTGATTTAATATTATTCTAGCTAACACAGATAATTCAGTGGCAGTTCTTGGGTCTTAAAAAACATATAGAAGATGAGAAAGATATGTTTAATTTAATAGAAGCTATTGCAAGAATGGAGTCGTCTGCGAAATGGGGAGCTGGATCTGCACTTCTGGCGGCCAGACTTGCTCGAAAAATATCACATAATTTATACGTTTATCACTATTCACAAGCATCCAGTGTGGATTTAAGTGGACGAACATTTAATTTTACAGGTAATTAAAAATTAGGATTTTTTATCTATTTCTGAATATGTATTACCTATGTTATTTGAAGAAATCATTCAAACATTTTACAAAACCTATTTTACTTTAAATTAAGGAGCAACACACGGGGCTGAACTCATAGCACTATTAGGGGATTCCCTAATGCTTCAAGTCGCCCGTCGGCCAGCGTCTCAAAGTGAAAAAGAAATATCAAACAAATTTAGACAATATGTTACGAATTTTGTTAAATTTGGGTAGGTTCACTTAACTATTGCTTAAAAAAATGATTATTTTATTTGTATGATCTGTTGTTAAAAAAAATCTAATGTATATGAAATCTAATTTATAGATTCCAAAACATGAATTTATCGTAAAGGTATTTTATATATAGGTCGCCAGATAGTCAGAAACAATGGCCAAAATATATAGTGGGTGACTCATACATTCATGAAATATGCCATAACAAGATTTCTGAATGCAACACGGATAAAAGTACTAAGGATATAGATTTCTGGCTACAATACTTACCTCGTTTAGCTAACAGACTATCATCAAATGAACAAGCTGAGAAAATTACTAGTGGGAATGGTATGTTAATTTAAAATCAAACTTATTGACATATTTCATTGTTCTTTGCTATGTTTATTCTAAAAAGAAGAAAAGGCGTGTTCTCATGTCTAACTCCTCGCCTATAAAAAGGAGCGTGGAAGCTTAGAGTCAAAACTTCCAAATAGTTTTAGTTAAAACTTAAAAATATTTTTAAGCTATACGTAACTTCTTTAAGTAATTATGTATGTTATCCTTTTTCAGGTGACAACCGATTTCGTGGTGGCGTGTTAGCAATGTGTGGAGTTTCATTTATGCTTTTATTGTTATTAGGTATTAGTATTGCAGTGATTTATACATGGCGCACTCGTAGACCCCTGATATCGATTCTCATGTAGCTAAATTATAATTATTACAATCCAATAAAATTAACGGACATGATAATTTTTTTTTATATTTTTTCCTGCTGCGAACAAAAACACTAGTTAATTCATTTTTTTTTTATTATGAAAACAAAAATCTCGACTGCGTAAAAAAACTAAAAAGATGGAAACATGTGACAGGAACATAGTATGATGCAGTCGGAAACATGTCATGTTTTATCGCCTGCTTCCATTTGGGCGTCGCTGCAATCGGGTATAAATAAAAAATCTGTTATTTAAGTTTCAATTTAGCCACCCTAAAATAGTCATCCTTAAATGCACATAAGCCCTGATGTATCCATTCTAGGACATTACCCACAATTTTAATCTACTAAATTACTATTATTCTGATACTTCGAATCTGTCAAATCACATTTTTTTAATATATTAATATACTGATGAAGCTATAGGTGAAATTATAATCTATAATATATACCTACTTTACTATACCTTTAAAGGTAATAAATAATTTTCCTAATTGTGATAAAAATCTATTACCTTGAGAATAGGATATAAATCTTAAAAATTACATTCAAAAGCTCCATTGTTGTTAATAGTCCAATCAGCATCCGGTTTGGGAACAAAATATTGAAAACCTGAAGTTTTATGATTATAAAATGTTAGCAGGTATCTATGGAATAGAAATTCGCAAAATGCAAAGCGTTAAAAAATAGTTTTTTTTCAATTTCCGGCTTACTGTGACGTTCTATCGAAAAATGTTTTCTACAAAAGTTGCAGTTCTAGTAAAAAACTACAACTTTTATAATTAACACTTTTTACAGTAACCTCAAAGTTTTCGAGATATTTTCAAAGAACTCGGTTTTTAACTTTTACTTGATTTTTCATCTTTCATTTCTAGAATAATCTTTTGATTTTCATGAACCTAAGGGAAAATAATCTTCAAAATAATTTTTTTCAGAAGAAATTGATTTTAAGGTAATTACAGAAAGAAATGAAATTCATAGTCTAATCTTGTTGATTCATTTGTTAAAAATAGAATTTATAAAAATTAAGTTGATATATTTAGTCACATTTTTGTTAAAAAATCATAAAAATGAAAAAAATTTTTTTTTTCAAAAAGTTATGTTATGACTTAAATTTTAAATTACCCTTTAATCTACTGTGTACCCATTAAATGCTAAGATATTGATGATAAAAAAGTAAAGGATCCTTTTTCATTGAAAGTCGAATATCTCGGGAAAAAATCCGACTTAAAGAGTTTAGTAAAAAAAACTTTTTGTTCCAGCTAATCTCCGAAACGGCCGGACCGATTTTATTGTACTTTTATTTTAGAAAAAGAATCAGGGTTCCGTGCAAAAAAATTAAATTCCATGAAATTGTAAACAAATCGGCATACCTAGGGACGCACTCAAGCGACGCAAGAGTAAGTTGCTAGTTGTATTACCAAAAACTCTAATAAGATGCTACTTATTTTAATTAATAAGCTGCAACTTTTTACTTAGTCTGTGACATAGTTTCATTTGTTGTTCCTGGTCTATGGTTGCATGAATCGTAATCATAGATGAACAATAAATCTCTTCCTTATCTGTGAAACTGTTTATGTTTAAAGGAGTTACTTAGTCTGTGGTCTGTGTTAAATAATAAATTTATAACATTATCTGTGGACTGTGGCCAAGGGGAAATGTCAAGCATGCATGGTAAAAAGTAAAAACTAAAAAATAAAGTTGTTGCAAATTGCAATTTGAGTAAGTTGAAAATAACGAATTGAATTGTTTAATAATTTGGAATAATTAGTGTATAGTGTTCTAAGTTCTCAAAAATATGGCATTAGCATTACAAAGAAGAGCAAACGTAAGTCAATTCTTAAACATGTTTATTTTCTGCTGTTTATGTTGTTATTGTACTTATATTTTAATTTGTCTGGTTCCTTACAGGTAAGACTACCACCAGAAGTTAACAGAATTTTATATATAAGAAATTTGCCTTATAAAATCTCAGCTGAAGAAATGTATGATATATTTGGAAAATATGGAGCAATACGCCAAATCAGAGTGTAAGTAATATACACATACATTATATATCTTATCAATTATAGTAAAAAACTTTAAAAAATAATTAGTCTTGAGTTTTTTCTAAGTTATATGACTTTATATTGATTTCAGTGGAAATACGCCTGAAACAAGAGGGACGGCTTTTGTTGTTTATGAAGACATATTCGATGCTAAAAATGCATGTGATCATTTATCTGGATTCAATGTTTGTAATAGATACTTAGTTGTTTTATACTATAGATCAAACAAAGCCTTCAAGGGAATGGATATAGAAAAGAAACAAGAAGAATTAGACACATTAAAGAAAAAATATGGTATTTCAACTGAAGAACTTCGTAAATAAATACTTTACTTTAACTTATGATTTCTTTTTTTAATGTGATTCCACTTGTTTATAGGATGAACAAATATTGCAACAATATATTTTTTTAAATTCTATAGCGCCCATTGATGCATGGAAAATACTGAGAGAAACAGAATTTTATAAAAATAATTGTGCTATTTTTCTGTTATGCCTTTCTATTATATCTTAATTTAACTCTTGATTAATTTTGTAGTTGATTTTTAATGTTATGGCTATACTATATACTATTTTTTACCATATAACTCTATACAATATTATTACAAGATTGATCATACTTCTTAATAACATTACTCGGCAGCAAAGAAGTAACTACTTACTAGATTAAAAAATTCATACTAAAATTTGCATTTGAAGTAATAAATATAGGTTGATTGTTATTATGAGTTTGATTTCGTGATATACTAAATGTCTTTAAATAATCAAAGCTAACTTTAATTTTAACTTTTTAAGATTCTGTCTCCAAACAACACAAATGAAAACCTTAATTTTGTTATCTCCATATGTGAAAGTTATTCTCTGAAACTATTAGCTTATTTCTAATTATTTTTTGCCAATTTGAAGTAATATTTAGATTTTTTTCTAGATTACTATAAAAATATAACTTATATACATTTTCGTGATTGTCTCTCAAGAACCTTTATTTTGATACCCCAGTCGATTAGCTTGGAAGATATTTTTAGACACAAATTGGCGCCTGAAATCTGCCATTTTAATTTTTAACTATTTTTATAGCCTATAACACTCACGTTATCAAGACGAATCTAACAACGTATTAATCATCAAAATCGGCCCACGCGTTGGTCTATAGAGTGCCTTATGGGAACAAACATACATAAACTGATAAACACATTACCCTCCTTTGCGTTGCGCAGTCAGTTCAAAAAGAAACTGTCATAACGTATCTAAATTAAATATCCTTTAATTATTATCATACGTTCCATAAAAATATTGGGTAGGTAACATTCTACGTTACGTTGGAAAATACATTTAAGCATACAACCTGCATACAAAAACGTGGTTATGTGTAGACTTACAAAGTAAAAAGTCACTACTACCCACCAAAACCAAAAACCTAGAAACTTCTCTCTTAATAGTGCGTCGTAGCTCGCAAGATTGCTTACGCACTACTATGACACGTCGACGGCTAGCCTACCGACTGCTGGTAGACCACGATAACCAGAGGGTAGCTCTCACGGTCGACACTGCTGCTAGAGAAGTACCAGAAGCAACCCACATGGTACATCTTTCGAAGCCTACATCGAAGTGGACCGCCTACCAAGTTGGTCTTGTTTGTTGTACATCATATTATGTTAGAGGCAATCTTCACACTACCTGCTTTTAGAAAGTTAGGCACAACCTTATGAAAGATTTAACATTTCTTTAGGAAAATAATAAAATAAACTGCATCACTTTGCAATACACTAGTTAATAAAAAATCTTGAAACAATAGTAATTTTACCACAAATTATAAACTACATTTTCATTCCTATTCTGTCTATAATGGGTCTGCAATGTACAAAAATAATATAATGTAAGGATAAAAATGAAAACAACGATTATTGATACAATGTTTTTATTTCTGCGTGCACAAGAAATACAGATAACTAATGACTGTGGCTACCAATGCAGAATGGGGGGTATGCTATTACGGTTACAAACTATTATTATTTTCTATTTTATGTTGATTAAGTGGAATAATACGGTATATATTAAAAGAGATAAAATAAGTCTTAATATAATGTGTCTTTATATCAAGTTTTGTTTTTTATTATTTTTTTTATGTTTTTATTTGTTTTGTCTTATCTAAACAAAGAGGTAAATGTTTTAGATATAAATGAAATCCCATAATCACTACAAGGGTTTTATAATATCACAAGAAACATGAAGTTATATATTATTATGTATGTACTATTACAATGAGATTAATTCTGTCACTGACTACAAAAATCTTAAACGCCAATATTTATAGACCAATAACTGCATATATTTAGACAATAGTGAGTTAGTCCCCTGTTTAAATAAGTCTTGGCTACTCGAATGACCTAAAATTAAGAAATTTTGAATAATAATAAGTCATCATGAGATCAGATCTGTCTAGTCCTGCGTGCCTCAAGTAAAAGACGGAAAATGTGTCACAGTTCACAATAAATGCACTAAGTTTCAGAACCACAGCTGTTTGTCATATTTCGCTAAACATTGAAACATAGCGATGAGACAAACTTGTAATTTAAATATAGAAAGTTTACAAATCGAAACAGCAATGAGTATTACTTTCATTAAAAATCACTAGACATTTTGGCAAAGAGAAAAACATTAGAACATAAACATTAAGTATTATAACGGAAATCAACAATAAACACTAACCGTCTTCATAAATAAATAACAAGTGTGCCTTAAAAGTAATAGTATTTAACCGTTCGAAAACAACATGTTCAGTATGGAAGGTAGTATTTATGTGGTAGAGGTGGTAGAGGTGGAAGCGGAGGCGAGACGCGCTCGGCCCTCAGCCACGAGCTGCTTGTTCAGGTAGATGTCCTCGTCCGTGGAGGTGTCGATGAGGTCGAGCGTGAGCAGCGGCTCGCTGGGGTTGAGCGGGTCCTTACCCACCTCCTTGCAGACGCCCACGAACTGCTGCTCCACGCACAGCTCTTGGAACCTGATGCAGTCTTCTACGGTCCAGTCTTGGTGAAGAGGCTTTACATCTGCAAATTTATTTAAGATTGTGCGATATTAAATAGTTGATGAGAATAATATTGATCAAATATAAGGCGAATTTGCATGTGGAAACACATTCTGAGAATTGAAATTAAGTGTTTCATACATATTTCTTATATATTATATATTTTTGTGAGTGACAATCTGTTTAATAATTTTTTCGTTGTTGCTTTTTGTTCTGTGGCTTACATGAGTACCATTTGGGCTTGGTATTTTTAAAGCTTTGGTAATAATATAATAAAATGAGGTAATACTCAAAAGTTTAATATTTTCTAAAATACCTCCTAAAGTAGATATTTAAGTGATTGTAAGAATTATATAAAATATTAGCAAAGTGGTGTCCAAAATGTCACGGTTTCGAGATATTTTTAAATAAGGATAGCTTTAAGGGATTTATGGAAAATATATGTACATAACTAACACTTAGACTTGTCATTACAAATAATGAGTTCAAAAAAGATAGGAGAAATTTAAAATTTAATAATTGTCATCATTTTTATATGGCGACTAATATTATAAACGTATATATTATACGAGGTGGGTCAGGCTATAGCTCACCACACTGGCCAAGTGCAGGATGGCGGACTTCACACGTCTTTCAAAAATTTATTACTTTCTCTCAAACTGGATAACCTCAATATGTTTTCCTTTACTGTAAAACCAGTGGTAATCGTGTCATAAATTCCTACTCACTCCATGAATGAGAATGTCACAGGTGCAAGGCCCGGGATATAAATCCGCGCTTTATAATAAAAAGTAATATTATATAAGTGAAGTACTAGCTATACTATATTCGCCGAAAGAACCGAGCACTGAGATTTTGCGCTTCCACGTCATTAGTTGCAGATAAGACGCTCAGGCCGCGATTACAACGCAAGTCATAATTAGTCCGTTGTTGCATTCTGTACCGTTCAGACGTCTCTCGTGTAGTTATCTCAATTATAATCAACATAGGAGATAACAGTGATACATCGGAAAACGAAAATTAATAAATAATGTATATACGTATTTAAAAATACAGTTACATAATTTTACTTTAATTTTGATTTTATTTGTATGTTGAATTTGTTTTAGTACAAATTATTAATAATTACTCACTAAAGCATCAACAAAATGAACGAGCCCTATGATTTCAAACCGGTTGCAAGCGTCAGTGGGCGGAGCTAGACAGTTTTCTGTCCCTATCAGTTTGTATGCAGATGTGGGAGAGAGGAAGCGTGTAGTAAGGTGAGCGTACCGTAGAGCCTGGCCTTGATGGCCTGCGGCGGCAGGTGGCGCGCGAGCGGCGCGGCGGCGGGCACGGGCCGCAGCGCGCGCGCCGCCGTCAGCGCCAGGTCGCCGTAGTCGCAGAAGTACACCGACACCATCTCCGCCGACACCGCGCCCGCCACCGTCACCCTGCGCGCGCGCACACACACACACAACTATACTGTACTACATTACTAAACAACTCTTATTGATTATGACGTAAATAAATAAGTGTTAATCTTTCATTCTACATAACTGCCCTTATAAGTAATAGGGATACATAGATTTAAAAAAGTTATAGCTGTATAAGTAATAGTAAAATAATAGTTTATTTTATAACTAACTGAAAATGTAAGCTCTACGTAATAAAAGTGAATAACTGAAGAATGTAAACTTTACATATAAAAGGGTATTAACACTTATTGTTAAAATAAAACAAACCAACACATGTATCGTTGCAATGTTATTAAAGTAACGGAATACCAAGTTTCGAATGGGTTAATCTGTGGAAATTGCTCATATTCCTTTACTCAATAAGAGCTGATGGCCTGCAGACAATTGACCGAATTTTTTGATTTATAGCTGAAACACTCAACAGTATCACCTTTTAGACAAAAAAATAATAATTTAAAATCGGTTCATCCGTTTGTATGCTACGATATCGCAGACAGACAGCAGACAAACAGATTACACACGTTAAACTTAAAACACCCCTTTTTGCGTCGAGTATTAAAACATTTAAAATAATTTTACTTAACAGTTATAAACATCAATATTCATTTGCAATTTTGAACTCACCTGTACCAGGAATCGTCTTTATCGTAATAAGCGACATAAAGCTCGCCTTTGCTCGGGTTCGTGGGAGCTTCTGACTCTGGTATTTTAGGACACTCCACTTGTAATGATGCCAGCATTGTTTGAAGAGTGTGCCTGGTACTATTGGGTTGCACCTTTTATCAGAAAATAAAAAAATGGTTATCAAATAATGTTAAAATATGTATATAACTAGCGACTCAACCTCACTTCGCTCGGTTCGTCCCTAGGTTGATTCCCCATACAAACTCTCAGCCCATTATCACCCCTTTAAGGGGTGATTCCGAGATAAAAAGTATCCTATGTCCCTTCCCAGGGACTCAAACTATCTTCTGACCAAATTTCATATAAATCGATTCAGTAGAGCCAGAGATTACCCCCTAAAACGTCACAAACATTTCACAAACTTTACCTGTTATAATATTAGTGTAGATAAAACGTTTTTTTTGTAGACGTAATTTCCATATTTCTTCTTTTTTTTGTATTACTTTATTGTTACAACACCTATTTTGGCCAGAAATAGGTCTAAAGAGGGTAGGGAGGCTATAATAGGGCAAACGGACGAGACGGAGAGATAAAGCTTCATACAACCACACAGTGACAGACAGAACAGTACACATACTATTATTATGTTTAAGATTCCTATGTGTGTCGAATGGTCGTCCCATTCGAGTTTGAGAGTGTGATGGAATAGAGAGTGGTCTAGTGTCTGCGGATATAATTGCACTACAATATCTTCAGCTCATAATTTACACAACTAAAATCATTATGTATTTATTTACTATTTACATATAAGTATGAGACGTGACCAGTGGTAGCCTAGTGGTAACGCGCTCGATTGGGAAGCAGAGTGAAGCAGATTCAAATCCCGGGTCTCGCACCTCTAATACATATTTTCATGTGCGAATAAATCCTCATATTGAAACCTCGAATTTAAGTGAGGCTCGTGCCCAGCAATGGAACGTTAAAAGTGCTGAATACATGAAATGTAGAACAAATGGCTTACTATTATTAGATGCCTAATAGCCTAATCTCAGTGAGATCAATCGCTGTGGGTGAAATCAGGAGGATTCGACCTTAGCAGGGTTGTCTGCAGCTTTGTCCCTGGAGCGTGGACTCACCACAAAGTTCCAGGGGTTGGCGGCCATGGCGACGTAGACGTCGAGGCAGGCGGCGCGCGCGGGCAGCGCGGGCGGCGGCAGCGCGCCCCCCGCGCCCGCGCCCCCCCCCCGCCCCCGCCCCCGCCCCCGCCCGCCGGCGCCGAGCGGAAGATGCGCCTCCTTCTTCTTGTGCAGCGCCTCCAGGTGCTTCGACGGCTCCTTCTCCTTCTCCTCCTCCTGTCCCTTGCCGCTGTTACGTTATAGGCGTTCATGTTTAGTTCACTCATTGGCAACGTAAAACGCTCGAATAATTACTAGTACTAAATTATTTAAATATTTTTCATGTTACAGTTTCTATTATATATGTATATAAATTTTCCAAATATGCCTTTGAAATAATTTAATTTTATGTAAACTAAATTAAGCATGCATCGTTAACGAATGTGTATCGACATTGAACGGAAGTCAATTGGATGGCATACTTTAAAACTTTTATAAATGACGTGAATTTTCTAATTGTGCGACATGCGTGGGTAAAAAAAATCCATCAAAAATAGCAAAATTATCAGAAAATACATCTAAAGAAAGTTTCACAATAACTAAAACCCTACGAGATTTAAAAGAAAAACAAATACAATCCAATATCCGAGCCCAATTTCCATTAAAATAATTGCGATATAAATTTTTTTTTATTAAAGGTACCAGCTGAGTAGATGTTACTACACGTAGCTTATACGTATTAAAAACTACAAAAATATAATTACTACTAATTACGTACTTGGAAAGGACATAATTGAATAATTAAATGAATCTTTTAACATGTAATAAAAATGCGAGTATAATAAGGCGCAATGTTTGCGGTCACTGGTCAATAGTTCATTGACAGCGGCGCTCGCGTGCGGACGCGGGGAAAGTTGCCGTCACGCTCCATATACACCAAAGCTATTGCATTCAAACTACTCATGAATTCAAAACCACTCGTAATAAGCACACATTCCGATTTTAAATCGATTTCACCGACATTTATAATGGTTCGTTTAGTATGAAGCTTAGCTAATGAATGTAAATGAATATTATTATATTTATTAAAATTTACACATCAATTTGATCATTCATTGTTTTGGTTTTAGTAAAAAATTGTTTTATTTAGGTTTTAGGATGACGACACGTTTGGCTCAGTTTGTAGTGTGACCTGTGGTACAGCAATTAGGGTAATTGCTGTACCACAGGTCGCGGGTTCGAGTCCCGCTGGGGGCATTCGTTTGTGTGATGATGTTTGTACCCCAGTCGTGGGTGTTTATATTTATAATATGTATGTATTTAAAGTTATAGTATATGTGTAGTGTATCAACTATCTAGTATCCATAACACAGGCCTCGTAGCTTACTATGAAACTAGACGGTGCTGTGTGTTAATGTCCCAACATATTTATATTTATTTAGGTCTTCGATCAACAATACTACTAGATATCGGGTCGGCGTAAGAAATCCGTCTCGGTAAATATCAGCTCATTTGAAAGGTGAGCGTATATTTCGATTACTTCTATAGAAACACTGCCAAACGTAAACACGTTCACAATACCGCAATATTTATTTAAAAGTTACAAAGATATGCATGAAGAAGAAGTTTTTCAGACGGAGTGTCTTATATTCGGTAAATACATGTAGATTAAGTCAATATTTTACGATTTAACCTACGAAATAATATAAAAATGAAATTTTGAACAATTTTAAATCCGCTAAGAATGTTGGCCTCGGCCGGTCAATACAGGCGCGAATTCTAAGAAGCTAACAGAAACAAAACATAACGATTTAGTTCACGGAGCAACAACTGGAAAAAGTGTTTTGAGTTCTTTTGATTGGTTGATTTTAGAATAAAGATTATAAAACTTATCAAATGATCGTAAGTGTATGATGGATACATTCGAAGATTTGTGAATTTATTACAAGGTGCTACGGTTGTTGATTAGGTTGAAAATAAAAAATTATTATAAAACTTTGTCTTGGTTTGTTAGTATTACAATTTGTAGCTGGTATAAGTACATATTCGCGCGGACCAGAATTTATGCTCTGATTTTTGTATGTGGGACACGTTATCTATTAGTATTGTTGATCGAAGCTATAGGTGAATAAGAAGTAACCTTACAGCGATCAAATTATAGTCGTCAATTAAAAAAAAAATATTTTTTGTTCAAATTGGATTATTTTTCATTGTATTAAAATTTGTTGAGTAAAAAACTCCTGTATTATGGTAAATAAATGTTTTTAGTCGGTTATGATATCACGTGTCACCCTAGTGTTCTCTGAAAAACAGTCTAAAGTGCCATAAATTATATACCGTAATAAAATACAAGATCTACTTTAGAATAAGTCGATTAGTTATAGTCCTACAATACTTGTAGTAAACATTGCATTTTAGGTAGTCGCTATCACGTTACCCATGCAGTGATTTTTAGTTAGAAAGATGATAGTAACTAAACAGTTGCAGGCACTCGTACTCCATGAGTATAGAGTTGTTGACGGAAGGTGAGTATGTGCTGCGGGC